TTTTAATGAGAATTAATTGCCAACAGTTGGAGGCTTTAGAAACGCTTTGAAAAGCTGTGAATTTTAACAGTATCTGAAGGAATTGAGAATCGGAATTCTATTAAAACTTAATTACACTGTTTAAAAGCTTTTTTATGTCCGTTACTTTTGATATTTGCTATTAAAGTTCTATTATGTGGAGTCCATTTCTAATGAGTCATTTATGGCCGGCATATCGATTGGAATTTTAATGGTAGTTAACCAATAAAATAAGAGTAACTACCTTAAAAAATCTCTGATAACTATCTACTCGGTTGCATCCCCATTTCGTATTGCTCAGCTACAAAGTGAAGCGGAAACCACTAGTTCCACTCGGTTAGTGCATATTTTATGAGTCATTTTTGGCCAACGCATCGCATCCTTTTATGCTTTGACGCCAATAGCCAAAGCCATAAATCTAGACGGTTTTATGGCCAGAAGCGGAAACGTGAGTCGCCGTTTTGTGGCCGCATATTTTTAGGGGTAGGAGCTGTAATAGATGCACTTAAACTGTCACTTCACCAGTCCCAGACGGAGTTTTTCCGACATTGACTTTGACACTCGCGAAGTCAACAAACCCGACAGGATAATATGCAAATCCAAATCCCCAAGGCTCTTGTTTTGTGCACTATTTGCATGCCATGTTTGTCTGCCCTGTCTGCCTGGCAAATAAAACTCATCAGGGCAGTTGACAACTCATTAGCTAAGGCATTCATGGAGGGCCTCTCGTGGGGAGAAAGATGACGGTTTAACCACCTCCTTCGCGTCCTCGTACAATGAACTCATTTCGGACAAAGTTCTGGGCTGCGACTTGGACTCGTATTTGCTACTTTTGTTGTCTGACAAGCGCTCATAAATCTGCAGCTGCAACCGGCCCACAAACTTGGAGAAATATTTCAATATTTCCTGTAAGATCAACTGAAAGATTTAAAGTGGCAGTCGATGTTCTTACTAAATTTGTTGGTTATGAATAGCTTAAGGGGTTGATTTTTTATTTATCACTATTTTGTGACGGTTAATGTTATCTGTCCCAAAAGTTAATTACCTGTTTTATAATCCCCAAGAATCCTAACGTTAAATATCAATGCATAATCTGTAGCAAGGTGTACTCTGTGGCAAGATCACAAATAAAATATATTTAGTTAAATAAATGTTATAAAAGAAAATCTATAAATATTTCGTTGTTCATCTTGTTCGTTTACTGCGAGCATAAACGCGATCTTCCTTTTTTTATGTGCAGCTTCCAGCGAATGCAAAGTGGAGATGCCTCCTCGCCACTGCCCCCGATCTCCTCCTCTTCTCCTCTCCATTCCGGACTCCAACTTACAGCAGCTGAAAGCAACTCTTTGTGCTGGGCCTGCTGGTTTGGCTCCTTTGTCTGTCTGCCCTGTCATAGATATCATCATTGGGCATTTATTATTTCGGTCCTTGGTCTGGCTGTGCATCTTCGTGTGCTTGGTTATTCAATTTCCTTTGTACGTTCTACGAACTTCCTCGATATATTCAGGCCAACATTTCCCCGCCCCGCCACTTGCTATCTCGGGAGTATTATCGATTTCTGGGCGACAGAGTGACAAACAATGAGCTGTTTTCCTTTGATATATTGAATTGCATTGTTTGGCCCTGGCTGTCAGTGCATTGCCATTTCCATCTCCATCTCCAACTCCATCTGGAGTTGTGGCTCCCATCCAACTCCCAGACCCCCAATCATCGCATCTCGCCTGTCGACTGTCGCTTGTCAGTCAATCAATTAGACACCTGTTGCTCGGTGCTTAGGCTTCCACGCGAAAAGCTAGACATCTGACATAAACAGGCGGACTTCCATAATTCGAAACACATCAGAATGGCGTTTTAGTAAGCAGTACGGAACTTAATAAGTAAAATATTGATAAATATTTATTTAAGGATTTTTATTATCAGTTGTTTGTAAAGAAGTTTCTGTTTGAATTTGAGCAATAATGTATGATTTATGTATTATGTCTCTGAAAAAGTCTTTCAAAGTGACTGACCTTGTAAATTTACTAATATTATATGAAATAAAAACGTTTTCTTAAAGAGTTATTTTATGATAGGTTAACCAATTACGTTTGTGATAAAGTAATTTAGTTAGTCTTAAACTAAAGTAATTTTTCGGCGTAAATGAAATTGTATAATATTTCTTTAAACGTTTGTCTATTACTTGCTTCGACTCCTGTGCTGATTTGTAAAAGCCATTGCTACGATCAGAACTGGATTTTTATTGACTTACTGATGATGAATGGGTAAGACATTACAGTGACATGTAATCTCCTAAATGGCTCACTCTCTCTCCACCGAAAGGAAGCTCCAGGCACTTCCTTCCCCAGTTTCCAACTCCGATCTGCCATTATCATCAGCATCAGCATCCTCTTGCCATATACTGTTAATCGATTATTAATGACTTTGGCGCAATTAAGTAACAAACAAAGCAAAAATCGCTTCATCGGGACAGCAACAACATGCCATTACCCATTAACAGGCGGCTCCACAAACTTGGCCGAGACAGGCTGAGAAGGGGGCGTGGCGAGGCGAGGGGGCGGGGTCCCTCTCTGTTCACTGACAGTAAAAGTTGCAACGTGCAACAGCTAAAGGCAGCAAGTGCAGGCTGCAAGGCAGAAATCTTAAGAAAATCAACATGCAAAACCAAAAACAACTTACGCCTTAAAATGTGAAAATGCGAATGACCCGAATACACGGACACATAGATACACGCACCCATACATGCAAACGTACTGAAATTGATAGCATACACGGCGCATGCGCAACACGCCAAAAAGCCTTAAAAGGCACCAACAGCAACAACTTCGATGACGACGGGCGACGATTTCCTTTTCTGCGCTTTCAGTTGTTGCTTATTTTTTTCTGCTCCAGGCAAACTAGTTTTACGAACAGTTGGTTAAATACCCTATAAACGTATTGATACCAAAGGTATATCCAGTTAATAAGCACACTAAAACTCTTAAACTTTAGGGGTTAATAAAAGTGAATCGTATAGTGATTGGTGGTAATAAAAGCTGTCTGTAAAATAATGTTTAATTATAGGTATTCCAATGACGAAAAACTCCATTTAAAATCTATTGATATGGGCTCTAAAAATTTAAAACAAAATGTATATCCTTTCACTATTTTGTGTAACTGATTTTAAATACCTAAATATTTTAATAGCAAACACTGAAATTGAAAATTATTATGGATTTAATTCCTATAACCTAGACAGGATGTTGTTAATTCGTTGCCTCAATTACCGGCTGCAACATTTTTTCTTGGCTTTTGTTTTTGGTGACAACGATGCCGCCATCGCACTTGCAACTTTTGCCTTAATTGGCCAGGCTGTCAGCCTGCTTCGTTTTGGCATAAGCAATTTTCATTTATTTATGCAAAACATTTGCAAATATTTATTGGGCATTTTTCACCAGCTCTCGCTCTTTCACGTTGCATTAGCATTAACACATTTCCCCAATTTTCTGTCTGTGCCCCAATGAAAATGAAAAGTTCACGTTTTCGGCAGAGGAAAACTCGTTTCGTTTGGTTATGCATAACGTTGACAAGCCTCAGATTTTTGTCCGCCTCTTGTTTGTTTATTATTTGTTTTTTTTTCAGTTTTTCGCCATGCCTGAGTGGGTTAGACCCAGAGTCTCGACCGAGGCTCAATGAAGCGCGTAAATTGTGCCGTCAATGTGGGTTAGGAATAGAGCTCTGCAGCTCACATGAGTAGGTGATTAATTCCTCACATTTCAACATCAACCATATCGGATGAAAGCCAGTGCGAAAAATTTGCCAGAGTTGAGTAATGACTGGTGTTTGGTCAAATCAATTAAGTTTTTATGGAGTGCAAAAATTAATTAACTAAATCTGCAGACCGGGTAATTGAAGAAATGTGCCATGGCTGTGTAAATTTACTGCTTATAAATTACAATCTTTATCACCTGATCACTCCCATTCACATTCCTGGGGATTTTCACCGGCAATTGTCAGAACCCACGTCGTAAACACCCAACTACAAGTTGCATTTTAATTAGTTTCGTAGCAAAAATAAATTAGAAACCAGCCGAAGACTCGGACACTCCCCTTATGTCTGCAATAAAACGCATCCAGATTGACGTAATCGCATTCCGAGAATTGCACATAAGTGGCATACTACTCGGTTCTAGTCGGTCCATAAAAAAACCAGCGTCGAATGCCACGCCAATTGTGCTAATAAATGAGCCACTTGCTCTGCGGCCAACAGGTGTTTCGTCTATGTCTTTGTTTTTCCCTGAATCTCGTTCTTTTTTTTTTAGGCCCTCAAAAGGCGGAGACATTCACAGAGAAAAGCCGACTTGGCCATCGACTTAAAAGGGAAAGAGGCAACAAAAAACAAAAACCCGAAAGCCATAAAAGCCAAACGTGTTCTTTTGACTGAGAAGAAAGGGGCAGGAGATGTGGGATTGGCACCTACGAGCGGCCAGCTTCAATGGCTTATTCTCCAGTTTGGTCTGCTCTTCCACTTTGATTTTCATTGCCATAAATGGCATAATAATTCTGCCTTTGCCTATTTTTTCGATCTCAAGATCTTGTTAAATTAATTCTCATTTTGCTCATTATTGGCCGAAATAATTTCTTTATACCGGATCATTAATCAAAGTGTTTCCGCTTGAGGTGTCGAAAAACGGAAGAGCCTCGGGCTGGTTTTTGGAAGTCTTTCTTTTGGAGCTCATTAATCATTATCTAATAACCGCATATGGCCATTTAAAAGCGAGCGAGAGATGTTACAATACATATTTTAAGATGTATTATTTCTGTAACATCTGTACTTTTCCCTGCTGTTAAGTTGTATTTTTTAAAGCCTTTTGACTGACATAAGCAAATTGCCAGGATTTCCCCTTTTTCCTGTCCAAATATTTTGCTAATTCTTTCTTATTTTGCCATTTGCGAAACTCAATCCTTCAACCCCTTTTTGCAGGGTTAATTCATTTGCCTGAGGGTTGAATTTCAAGTTGTGCAAATGTTTGCCCAAGGATTGTTTTGCCAAGGACTGCCCTTTATTTAATAACTTATCTTGTTCTTAAAAAAGTTGTACATTTTAGTGGGCATTAGTTTAACAAGTTTAAAAGCTGCTTGAACTGATCGTCCAAGTTTAAAGGGGTCTCCGTGGTGGTCGGTGGTTCGGTGGGTGCCTCCGTGGTCGTCGTGGTGGTGGTGGTCGTTGTGGAGGTCGAGGAGGTGGTGCTGGGCTTGGGCTTGGGCATGGGCTTTGGCTTGGCCCGGCCATCCAGACAGGCCTGCAGGTGGTTGTAGTTCTTGGCGGTGGACTCCACGTAGTGGCGCTCCGCCTTGTGGCAGCACTGGTCGTGCTGCAGATCCACCACGCGGTAGCGCTCCTGCAGCAAACTGGCCGACTCCGAGGCATTTCCAGATATGCTGTACGTGGAGACCGTGTTATTGGAGCCCTGAAATGGTTGGAGTTTGTTAGAGAGATCAAGGAAAAGTACACCAGTTACACAAGATCTACAACTATTTAAAGGAATATCAGATTTTAAAGATATAGAATAGAAGCTTTGCAACCAAGTAATTATTTTGTGACAAAGTTAAGGATGTTCAGTTTTAATTGGTGTTTTAGAACTACAATTAAGAACTATAATTAATTAAAAGGTATACCACATTTAAATTGAAAGATTATTATTATTATTATTATTATTATTTTTTTTTTTTTGTTTTATATATTGAAAAATTTTTACTTTCTGAATTCACTGAAATAAACTGAACTATTGGAAAATCTCCAGACTCAATTAAATCGTTCTACATAAGGTAGACATTTCTTACCACTGCGGCATGACAGTTGAAGGAGTCGAGAGTGCCATTGATCCTGTTGCAAACGCTGAGCTCCTGGCACACCCTCTCGGAGGAGAGCCTGATGGTCCTGCGCGTTGCCAGGAAATCATGGTCAATGCCCCTCCTCGAATTCTGGGCCGCCTTGGCGCAGCTGCTATAGTTTGCACTGTACAGTTCCGCGATGAGGTTCGACTCGCCGATATAACCACCGAAACAGGCCACCGAGGCGAAGGGATCGCGATGCGTGACCCGCGAGTTGAGGAACAACCGGGTGAGGCCATCCTGGGTGGGCAGACCCACATATGGAGGCAGAGGTCTGCTGATTCCTTCCGCGGAGGACAAAACCAGAAAACCGATCACTGCCAGCGAGGCTAGCATTTTCACAGACATCTCGGGGCACATTGCAGATGATATTCACTAGATCTGAATACAGAAGCTCTTTTGACGCACTCCCTCCGACGGAGGCCTCTTTTATAAGCACACCCGATGCGACTGACAGTCCCGAGTTGATAAGCCTGATATGTGATTTCCTTTCGCGATGCTCTTATCTGTTTTTGCGAACGGTTTCTATTGCCTTGGCGCATTATCTTTTGGCCAATGATAAACCTTAGACAAACACCAGACTGCTGGGCATGATTGAATTGGGATCACGGCAGATTTACTATTTCCTAGAAATTCACAGACCTGTACCTGTACCTTATAAATATAGAAATGAAAGAATAAATTTAACTAAATTATTACATATCATATACAAAACACCGTCACTGAGAATAACTTTCGACGGTGTGAATGCTTTCTAAGTAGCCGGTTAATATTTACTTTAGGTAAATACAGTATTTTATGTTGATAAACTCGGGATTCTTTATGGCGCGCAACGCTCATGCGCTGTTCAAATACCTTTTGTTTGGGGGTCTAATTTTATAATCACCGCAAATATTGGAACAATCTTTGTGGTAAAGCTGTGTGAGTCGCATTGCGTTTAAGGGGTTGTAATGCAAGGTGGATGAGTAAGCAGGTTATTTACAAATGATCAACAGCTTTCCCCCCAGATTTATTAAGGGAATGTAGTATACCTTATTAATCAGGTTTTATGTACACAACGATTAGAAAACCTAACAAACTTTATAAAGATTAGAACATCCTGTATCTAGAGATTAACACAATATCACTTTGTAAGAAAATAGTCTTTATTTCGATAATCAACAGGTTTATAAAAGCTTAAGTATTAATTCATAATTGTTTACATGCTATTTATCACGAATATCCCAGTTACCTTTAACCGAAGAATTACAAAATGAGTTTGTAAAGTATATTATGACTTCCTGGGTCTAAGACCCACATTCATGCCTGTGACTGAACGCAGGATGAAGTTTAACATTGGCTTGAGCTGCTCTCCAAGGGGAAGCAATTCGTAGTGTCTAAGGACCTTGCTGATCAGAGCCTTCATCTCCAGAATGGCAAACTTTTGGCCTATGCAGTTCTTAGGCCCAGCACTGAAGGGCACATAGGCGAAGATCTCATGACTTTCCCCTTCTCCATCCAAAAACCGTTCTGGCTTAAAGCTGAGAGGATCGGGGAAATAGTCCGGATCTCGATGGGCAAAGTACATAACCAGATAAATACTGGTATTGGCCGGAATTGTCTTGTTTCCAATCTGCAGATCCTTGTGGGTGTGTCTGCCAACTGCAGGAACTGGAGGATATAGTCGCATTGTCTCCTTGATTACGCATTCCAGATATTTGAGATCATTTAGCTGGGATTGCGTCACAGGAGCGGAGGGATCCCGGCCTAGGACTTGCAGTACTTCTTCGTAGATACGCTCTTGAACTTTTGGATGCCTGGCGATGGCATATAGGGCATGGGACACACCACTACTGGTGGTGTCATCGCCCTCGAACATGAAGGTATCCACCTCCTCGCGAATGTCCGCATCGTTTAATGGTTGATTATCGATAGTCGATTGGAGGAGGATGTCCAGCAGAGCCATCTGCGACTTGCGACCAATTTCGGCATCGCCCAGACCTGCAAGAGATTGGATACAAGTCAGCGTTGTTATATATGACTTCCTGGTAATGCAATGCACCCACTCAGTGGACGGTATGTGCCGTCGGCCTTCGCCCGCTCCACAGTTTCCCGCCGCTCGCGGATGACCTTGTCGGTGAATTCGTGCATGACGCGGATCTCGTTCAAAAGTCGTCTATGTAGAAAAGGTGCTACCAGCGGGAACAGCCAGTCGTAGCGTTGCGAAAACTTGAACATGCGATCCGGTTGGATATAGACCACACTGCATAAGGGGTAGCGAGAATAAAGAAAGTGTTGCCCAGGCCACTATTTATTATTATACCGATATGAACTCACCTCTTGAGCGCCTTGATGTACGGAAAATCGGGGTCATTCTGGGCATTCACCTGGACACCCATGGCGGCCTCTGCAAAATAGTTTAATAAATCAATACTCAGTCAGTACGGTCAGAGCAGTGGTTCTTAATTCACAAACCAATATTATTAATACAATTTTTTTAGTTGTTGAGAAAAAATAAAAGGCAAATTATTAACTCGCATGTGAGACTATTAAAATACAGATACAGATAAAATACAGACCTTTTTTAATTGCTTTATTATTGTGACTATCTAAAAAGTGAATTAATTTATTTAACTTGAACCAATAATAGTTCATAGATTAAAGTTGATTATTAATATTCTCATTAAACGTTCATTAATTAAGATTATAACCCGCTAAACAAAACTTTTTATTTAAATATAATCAAAAAATGTGAATTCAGTGAATTTAGTTTCCAGATACTTGGCAAATAATCCCTGTGTTTCATTCTTATTTGTTTAAATATAAATCTGGTGAAAATATACAATACAGAATCCTCAAAACGCAATGTGTAAAGAATTTTAAAGCCAAGTAAAATATTATATATTTATGATGCCATAAAAATCTTAATTTAGCAAGAAACCTTGACTAACCTGTGATCACATCAAGAGCTGCCAAGGACACATACTTCAACATGTCCAGCGCTGTTTTACCATCGGCGACCGTCCTCAGATTCTCCACCATAATCGCACTATTCCGATCCATGATCTCCACATAGTGCTCGAGGACCTTAAAGTGAAAGGCATGGGTGAAAATCTTCCTCCTGGCATGCCATTTTCTACCCGTGCTAACGAGTAGTCCATCGTTGAGAAAAGGTCGCAGATACTTGTAGAGTTGACCCTTTTCCAGCAGGGTGGTACTGCTCAAGATGGTCTCGAAATACTTCAGATCCTTCGTGTAGATCAAGGACTCCCCTAGGATCCAAAAACGAAATGTCTTACCATATTCGTCAAACTTTTCGCCCACCCAGGGGATAATATCTGAAAAGGAGATTTCATTAGATTTGTTCCATTAAAGAAACGGTTTTATAGAAAACCATAGAAACAATATTTGAAATATTTTTCTTTTGATATTGATTCTATGGTTAGGACCTACTCTCCGCTCCTAAGTGCAGTGCTTGAAGGCCGCAGCCCAGGATCGGAATCGAAATAGGCCCTGGGATCTTGGACTTCTGAAAGGCAGCGACTCTCGACCGTTTTCGAGCAAAGTCCCAGGTCAGGAGCAAGATCAGTGCGCCAGTAATCAGGGTCAGCAACATTTTAGCTACTGTATGTAATGATGACCTCCGAGTGGAGATTATTGGCGGGGATCAGCTTCGGATCAGTCCAGCAGTAAATTTGTTTGCGATGTTGACGCCGTCGCTTTTGTAGATCAACTGTTTGGGACGAGTGTTGATAACCGGCCGCTTGACCAGCCAAGCGCAATTTCGGTATTTAAAAGTTTTTGTATATATTCTCTGTATAATTGGATTCTCTCCCTCTCAGCGAATTGCTCTCAATGGAACTGGTTTTTGTTGAAACATATGAGTTTTGTTTTGATTAAAAGTTCGAGTGTTGCAACTCGCCGCACGCGGATCACATTTTAAGCGAGCTTTTCGTTCTGTCAGATAGTCGAAGTGCCCATGCCGAATAAGCCAGTGCTGATATCGAAAGTGTAAAGTGTACATACAGTGATCGGTCGGTAGAGTGGAACAAGTTTCAGATCGTTTCATGCATATTGTGATGTACCCTGAACGCTAGGTAATATTAAAATACAAAGACACTCAAAGTATTACCGTCAAAACGATTAAAATTAAGAACCCATCGCAAAAAAAAAGTTAACCTGGTCAAACCACATCATATTTTGAAAAGTGTAATTTCGATTGTTTACTGCATAAGCCCTCATGACATATTGTTTGCTAATTATGCATGCGGTTCAGTTTTGGAATTTGATTTGAATGGATTTCACAGCAATCATTTCCATATGGCAGTTTAAAGTACAGTGTCAACCCAGCGATCGACTTATAGCCTTAGCAATTAAAAGGTAATTTTATGCGCCAGAGCGAGCCAAATAGCAAATCCGCGAGGGCACCCAGGAAACAGTAGCATCTTTGGATGAGCAGAGCAAGACACTTGACAAGCCACCAGTCCAAGTACAAGCCCTGTACTTCCAAGCTACCTTCCCTCCAGAAAAAACAGCTGTGACAATCGGAGCGAGGCGACAAGACACGAGACCAGACCTCGACACTACACTCAGAAAATCAGGGACAAAAAATCTGAATAACAATAAAAATAACAAAGGATACATTTGTTTAATTATTGTATATTTTTTAAATCTATTGGCGACCTTTCTACTTTTTGCAATAAATAATCAATAAGTTGACAAGAAATAATGACAACCAAGAGCAAATTGGCAGCATTTTTCTTATCTTTTTCTTCATAATTAGAATAAAATAAAAACCCAAACAGTTGGTAAAACCTCTCATAAAACCATAGAGATTATTTTATTGTTTCACATGTTTTACTGAATTAATAGTTAATGTTTTTGTTTAAATATATTGTAGACCTCCATTAGTCAGTAAATTTCTAAATTTCGTTGCTTTTTTTCTGAGTGTCCGAGGTCTCCAGTTGAATGGACTGCTATTTCTGCTAGTAGTTCTGGCTGCCGTTGTTCCCGGTTAACTCGTTGAACTTGGCGGCAGAGTTCATTGGAGTTGAAGTGGGGAGTCCGGACTGAGGGTGCGGGTACCCATAAGAGATGGGAGGGGACAACTCAGCATAACACACCGGAGACAGTCGTAGCAAGTACATTCACTTGGCGGTCAATTAAGGCACTCGGATGACATCCGCCGACATGGGCCTGGCCAGAAACCAAAACAAGTTATCAAAACGCCGAAACCCCGAAAGAAGTTTACCTTTTCCATGACGATGACGCTGTTCCTCTGACGCCAGCAGAACGGTAAATGGGAGCGTCACATACTATAGTATATATATATATCTTCTATAAAAGATACCAGATATAAGCAGAAAGAAAAGCAAACGCTGGTGAAGCAATCGGCCAAATTGTAGACCGGCTAAAAAACGTCGACTCACGTTATTCCCAGGGAAATTGAAGCAGAAAGCGGAAGAATTTCATGGTGAAGTAGTGTAGGTAATTATGCGGGTCCCGGTGTCGGGGAAAAATATAGGAAAACTCAATCAATAAGTGCACGCCCATCTGCGAAACGGGGGAAAACCCGTGACAGGCACGTAGTACAACCCCATGAAGAGATGGATACCCATTCCCTTATAGACAATATAGCTGCATCCAATCTTAAGCAGCTGTAAGTGGGGTTCGAGTTAACTCCTTTGTTTAGCTTGCCCAAAAAACGCATGTTTCCTGCTTCCGCTGCAGTCAAAACACAGAGTCACTCAACTGCCATTTACCAATGGCTCCCAAACTCCCGAAAAACCACCCAATCTCCCCCAGATTTAGCACCACCCTCCATGGCCATTGACATCGAACAAAGAGCTGGAGTTTTGTTTTGACGCATTTTCGGTGTTACCCCGGCAACCGGCAAACCGTAGAACCGAAAGAATAACATGTCTGGGGATCCCTGAATGGGATGGGTCTTTGTTGGTGGGTGGTGGAGCGGGTCTACTCACTGGAGGGTTGGTAATGCCAGCAGCACGTGCTTGGGACACTGCGCCTGCTCGTGGAAAAACAAATACCAGCTGATTGCGAAAGTCTATCAACAAAGTTGCCGAGTCCAATGTTGCCAGGTTTAACCCCAGAAAGTTAAAGGTACAAAATGCATTCATCTAAGGGGTTTTATTCTAATATACAAATTAATTAGTTAAAATTAGTTAGTTAAAAATCGTTTATTTATCTTAAACTTTTTATTTTTATCACAATAGATTTCTTATTATTGACTTTAGTTTCAAATATAAATAAACTAAATATATATATTGAAACCTTTTTATTTCTAAAAAGCTCTAAGGAGTATCTGAATATCTTTTGCTTACCAACAAAAGCTAGAGTTTTTTGCACACCATTTTGTTGAGCTATAGGGATAGCCATTGCCAAATTTCGATTTCACAAAGCAGCCAAAAAGACGCGACACCTTGAACTTGAGGTGAAATTTTAGCTTTTAACCCAGAGCAACAATTAAGCAAGATTTTGGCTGGGCAAAACTATAAACAAAAAAACACAAAAGCCTCGAGAGTTGGCAACAATTTTAAAACCTTCCGCGGGGTCGGCCTAATGAAATGTCGAATGGCCAGACAAAAGAGCAAAACAGCCAAGCAAAAAGCGAAAAAACTGTAAGCCCATGTTGACGTTGTAATTTTGCATCATTACCGCCGCCGCCTTCAACTGCTCTCCTCCGACTTCAAAAGCGGGTAAACTGCGGCGTGGGAAAGTCAACCCGTGGCGAACTTGAATCTGGCCAACTCTGGGATCTCTGGGATCTGTGAGATCTGTGAGATCTCCGAGGTATCCGCTCATTGTCCGGGATCTTCATTACCTTTCATTGCTCTCGTCAACTTGCTTGGCGCCTTCGTGGGCAATCGTCACTCTTTTTGGAGTGCCAAAAATCGCTGCTCTTGGGACTTTTGCGAATCCCATTCGCTTTCTGGCATAATTCGTTGCATAAGTCAATTTCTGCTTACCTGGTGATTTATATGACGCGATACATTACCGGCAATTCACCTGAGTTTCATGTGGCTGCACTTGCAGAAAAGAGGGGCCGTAAATTGCAATACAAAATAGTTATCTCACACTTTAAACTTCTAACCCTTTTAATTAAAGATGAATTATAAAATGATGATATAAAATAACAATTATAATAATTGATCTTCAATATTCTTTCTTTTAAATATTTTCTAACAATTTATCTTAGAATTGATAAAATAACTTACTTTAAATCATATATTTTTCTAAGTGCTGCCAGATGATCTGCCTGATATTATTGCCTGATATTTATTTGCGGTTTGCCATCATGCTTCTGTTGGAAATATATCATGTTTTAGTATTATTACCTGCGAGATATTATTAAATTTACTTATTTAGCCTCAGCTGCGGCTGTAGCCTTGTTGAAAACCGCTCAAACCGTTGCCAGGGCCGTTGATTTATTATTGCTTTTGAATCTCGCACCGAGCACTTGACATAGAGACAATGCCAGAGACCCTCTGGAAACTGAGATGATGCGAGTGCAGCAAGTATTCTTCACATATTTTATATATTTTTGCATACATTTTCAACACCTTGAGTGAATTTGTGAGTTTACAACTTATTTAGAGCCGGCGGAGATGGTGTCGTGTTAGGGTCTCATAAAGCCGAGGTTTGATGGCGTGCAATTATTTATGCCGCGCCAAATAGTTTAAAAAACAATTCATTTTGTTATATCATTAAGTCCCCATAAAGCGCTGCCGCATTGCCAAACTGATCGCGTGATCACTCTCAGTCTCACTATGCATTCACTTTTTGGCAAAAAAAAGAAGAAATTTTAATTACCTCACTGGGTAATTCAATTACAAAACGCGAGTGAGTATGTGCGGACGATGATCAACGATCCTTGGAATGGCTTCTAATTATATACAGAAAAACATCTCTATTCCGCGGAAACTGAGCTCTCAGCTGTCAGTCCTAGGAAATAAAGTCGGTTTTGCCTTGCTTCTTCTATTTCTGGGTGTGTCTTATAGCCATTGACCGCACCCTGGATTTGGCACTCAAACTAATTGCTGGCTAAACGCTTTCCAAAGGGCAATTACTGCATTAAAACTATAGCCATCGAGCCGAGGAAACGGGAGAAGTCCAGAAGCCCGGGAGGAGCCATTCGCGTGTCTGCCCTCTGACCTATGACTCCTGGCCAAATATAATCCCCTCTCACTCCACAACGTCTGCAATTTTTGCCATTATTCCATTAGCCAAGCTTTTACTTTGATTTCACGTTTCAGCAGTTGTGGCTAAACTCTGAACTTTAGCAATACCATTTTCCATGTGGTTATGCATGGTAATTGAATTCACGTTTGAGTTTGATTTCAGTTTGATTTGGAGTTTTGCTTTTAGATATATATTTTAATAAGGTGTAGCTGCTTAGTTAATATAGTTTTTGTGCTACTCTTCATTTGATTATCTAATAATCTTAAAAATATTGTTTATCAACCTTTTATCTTCTTATTTAAAAGACAACAAAGTATTAAAAGGTGCTAACAATCCGGTTAGTGGGTTTTTATTCTACTCTTAAAAAGATTTTGAAACGAATCATATTTCTTTAAAGAAGTGTAGACCCACAAATTCTTAATATTGTTATCATGCTGATATCTCGAATAATTTCCTGCATCTTGTATAGCGTTCATGTATACTTCAGTGTGTTCATCATTATTTCTCCCATGCAGTACATATTCTTGAGGTGTTAACACTCTGTTTATATAGTTGTCATGCTACTCTTGAACAGATTTTAACGCGATCAGCAGGCAGTGGACAAAGTGACCGATGTCTTAGGTAAACGAGGTCCGAAAACCCAACACCTGGTCAACGTTTTTGCCTGTTCTGTCAAACATTTTCCAAATTAATATGCAATTTAGCTGTCAGCAGTTTGGCTGTTTGTTTACCTGCCTCGACGGTGGGCAGGTGCTGAGCTTCGTCGGGATTGAGATTCAGATGGGTATACCTATGTGTCTTGGGACCCAGTCTAGGTTGCCTGCTCATTCGTCTTTGTTCGCTCGTCGTGTGCAGTCCGCTTTTCAATCGCTTTTCCAGTGCCTTTTGGATTGAAAAAACAAAAAACAATCACGTGCTGTGATTTCCCAAATGTGAGTGAGCTTCGTTTTTCCTTTTGCATTGCCATTGCCGAATCCAAATCCGAACAAGTTATCGCTTAGCGGTTTTTTAATGCCGCCTGTCGTTCCAAATAACCCGTGACATATATAAATGCCGGGCCCATTTCGTTTGGGTTTTTGTTTTCCACCGGATTTTTGACTCACGCTGCGAGATAAAATATCTCAAGGCGCTTGGCATCCAGAAATCAAAATGTACCGAAGCATGTCCGGTGACTAATAAGTGTCTGGTCAGAAGATTATGAAAAGTCTTCGAGTCGTTCTTAACGGTGCCGTTTACAAAAAGACTGCCAATATACAAGTCGGTTTCAATTCGATACAGATAGAATCTTGTTTTTGCTGAGACAAAGCCCCGCTTTTGATCAATAGAAGTGCTGAATGGAATGTGCGGGAAAAAACGTTATGCAATAGATCAAAAGATTGGAGTGGAATTTTATGCCATTTTCATCAAGCGAAGATTGATCATGGAATAATTGAGGGGCTAGAATTGTTTAGAGCGCATATATTTTTTAAACTTTAAACATGATTGTTAGCAAACAAAAACTTTTAAGGTCAGGTCAATAACAAAAGTAAAAATATTGAGTTTATACATAGAATGAAAAATATTTCGATTATTTTCTAAAATATTGTTTGCACAAACATTGGCTTTCGGATAAAGACTTAAATACAAATTCAATACCAATTTCCCCCGCAAATAGATGAATAATGCAACAATATTTCCCCAACAATTTCCATGGTCCAACATACTTTTCAATGTCAGTTTGTACTTGGAAACTCAATAGCTTAGAGGATAATCCCCCGAGCCAAGCAATCAACTTGTCTCATTAACCGCCCGCGGTTCGTTAACGTCAACATCTGACGGCCAATAAAAATGAGAGCCAGCCATAATAACAATAACCAATCCGGCGACCATTTGCAGAAGAAAATTCCATTGCCATCTATGAGGAAAATCGCTGCCCAGCGCCTAATAAATGGCCATGGATGGTCCCCTATTAAAGGAGAAAGTTGGCTTCGGTTTGGCTGAAGAGCAAAAAAATCTCAGCAGAAATAAAAGGCCGACTGTCGATCGCTTCCTGGGCATTCTTTTCGAAGGGGGCCGTACAAATAAGGCAGCTCGCCTCGCTCATTAGTGGCCAGGAAAATGCCATGTCACGAGTTTCCTATTAAGATGGGGAAAATGGGAACGGATTGGGCTCTCCAGACCATTGAGGAAAACGCACGTTTTCAGTAATTCCTGCATGCACTCGTATCTGCACTCGATGTATTTTATCTTGTATCTCGTGGATACGCACCTTAATTGCCACACTTTATGCACACTTTTAACGGCTTCACTTCTGTGTGTTTCTCTTGCAGCAATCTCGTTGCGAAAAGCAAAAGTCACTCGGGCATCGCAGCACCCCTCGGCCTTGGCCCCCAGCTACCACCACTTCCCATTGGCGGCGGCTTCGTGAAGTTGCGACATGTAGCCAAGGAGGAGGAGACACCCAGCAGCAGCAGCACATCCTCCGCCAAGGAATCGCCGGATAAGCAGAAGGATCCCACCCAGGATCAAGGAGAAGCTTCGGGAGACGCATCGAATCCAACGGCTCTGCCACAGTTTCTTCAAGGCGTCCAACGATCAGCAACTGAGGTAAGTAAGGGACATTCTCTGTAAAAGATATATATTTTAACGGTTATATAAATGCCACAAAAATGTATTAATTTAAACCAAAAATATGTAAATAACATTTTTACGATTTTAAAATATATTTTAACCTGGGCATTTAAACAATTATCTCGATATTAATTATATAATATATATTAATTTTAAATACTTCAAATCCAATTCCAAAGTAAATATCGAAATTCTAATATTCAAAATTAATCAGCATTGAAAGCTTACTTTGTGGTATTATAAATGCGACAGTGATATAATAACAAACCGAATCGAACCAATATAAAATACCCCCTGAATCACTTCGATTCAGAACCCCCTGAATTACATCTGACCCAGTGTCAATTAAGCCGATTCACGTGTGAGCTCATCCCAACCATCCATTATCCATTATCCATTTATCCAGGTCATGGGCCCCGATCAGCGGTCTTTGGTGATCGCGAAGACCGGCTCCATTGCGGAGCGTTTGGCGGCGCTGCACAAAAGTGGCGAGGACGACTGGAAGAAGCGCATCTCGAAGCGCGACGAAGTCGACGATGTGCACCGCGAAAACTTCGTAAACGTGAGTACTCAGCACTTGTATCTCGTATCTGGTTTATCGCAGCTGGGAGATAGGTTAAGCTGCAACGCATTTGATCGCCCGTGGACCGCAACGGATCCGATCTCGATCTCGCTCTCGATAGCAATTGCGTGAAAATGGTTTCCTTATTGCTAATCGTTTTGTTTATTAACGTTGTTGCACTGCACATTTTCTGCAATTTCTGCAATGTGCCCGTTGTTCGTGCAATGCCAACTGAGCGTTAAACCTGACGGCAATGACATAATAATGCGAGAAGTGCAAGTGATAGCGATCGCGGAGGTTTGCGGGTGGTATCTGGATGATGTGTGACTTACATCCCGGGGCGGGAACTGACGTAATTAGACTGAGTTCCGCGATAAGGCGCCTTGTTGGGTATATTTTCTTTATGATTAATCGGAGTAGCTCATAATCCAAATAAGACCGTTCTGTGCTCACTAAGCCTAAATACCTGCAAACTGGCCCATGGTTACTGAAAAGTCATTAAAGACTTTCGATAAGAAATATAATCAAGGCTTTTAAAAAATATATGATAAGAATACTTCGAAGGATTTTGTATTATATTCGCTACTTATTAATAATTTAATATTTCCTTTCAAAGATAAATTTATATTAATTTTAATTAATTATTATTAATTATATTTTACCTCAGTTTTGACCTTTCCAACATCCTGTGATCAAAGAAAATTAATCGGCAAAATACTCTTGAGCGATAAGAAACTTAGTATATAACATCTTATTTTTTCATTATATTGTTTAAAATTATCACAATTCTGGAATTTATTTTTCTGATTTACTTGACAAATGTACATTACGTATACGTCAAGTGAAACAACGCCGTCTACACAAAAATGTTGCATACTTTCAGGCACATATTGTACACAGCGCCATCTATTTTATACGTTCAAGTTGAATTGCTTTCCAAATGAAAACGAACTTTTTCACTTTTTTTTTTGGGGAAGTGCAAGTTTGGCAAGTTTTTGTTTTCACTAAGCCAGAAAAAAGTTTCGCCTGCTTTTGGCATATTATTTATGGGCATGGGCACTTTGCTCGCATCAGACTTGGTTTAAAATCCGATTCCGTTTGGACTGTCAATTAGCCGATCCATTCAAAATTGCCGCTAGCTTTTGGCGAGACATGAAGTTTAGTGAACTCTCTCTATTAAACGGTTACATCTGGTCCATAATTATGCGGGTAGACTTCAGCCGCCCTTTTCGCGCCTTCCCTCAAAAGCAATACCCGAAGTAATCACACTTAATTACTGGGACCCCGCCCCCTTATACGTATATATATCCCATCGTCTGTTGGGAGAGAGAAATTGTGAGGAAATCGTGTCAGAGCGATCTTCTGACCCACACACCAAACAAAATGCATATTATATTCCCCACTCTCAGGCAAAATTAGTTTTCAAGTGCTGTCGCTTTGTTGTTGTTATTGTTGCTACAGCTGTTACTGTTTAAGTTTGTTTCCTATTTTCTTGGTTGTTGTGTGCACTGAAAAAAGTATTGTATTTTATATATAAATCAATACATGGAGTGAAAAGAAATAGCTTTATTAAATAGTCTTGTAATTTAAAAAGTTTTGCGCCTACTTTTAAAAAATCCAAGAAACATCTATGAGTTCGGGAGGGGTTTGAAAATACATAATAAAATATATATTTTTTCATTCGTTTATATTCTTTCGTAAAATATCTTAAATCACTACATTTATCTGTGGTAATTGTATATTACTTATTCAAAAATTGTGTTCTATGTTCTTGGCGACAGTACAGTGGGACAAGGTCAATGTGCAGGGCATATATTTAGAAATGATACATCATTTGGGAGGGAGTGCCCATGAAACCCCCTAATTCCCCCCAAAGTTCTTCCCTCATTTTCCGCCACACGACACTTGACGCCCATTATAGTACAATTTATTAATAATTAAGATGAATTTCTGTTTTCCCTGCTCTGATGGTCTGATGGATCCGAGACACTCGTATTCATGCGCTGCTTGGCAGCCATCCCAGGTGGCGTATGAGCAATTAGTCTGCCCAACTCTTTGACGCAGAGTCCCAGAGCGTGTGTCAAAGCAGAAAGAAATCTTTTGTAATTTAGCACAATTTATCAGGCCACGATCGCAGAAAGTTGGCGAGCAAACGAGCGGAGCAAATGAAAATGCGCATAATAATGAAGGGCACAGCAGAATACAGCATCCCAGAATCCAGCATTCAGGAGTTTCAGTTTCAGCAGGGCAACTACAAATATATAGACAGACTCGGTTTTTTCTGCTCCTGCCTTTACAATTTCGAGGCGGCTGCCAACTTCCATTTTGCCATAATTTTCTAAACTTGCCTTGTGGGCTGTGGCAGCAGCCACATCTGAAAAAGCAACAAAAACTGCAGCAGCAAGATCACACACTGAGAAAAATAAATATATGTATAAAATGGAGGCTGAATTTATTGATTCACTGTAATTTCTTGTAAAAATTCAAGGTGTTTCATTAAAAAAACATTGTCTATATTTCATACAATTTTGTTTGGGACCATATTTTTTCATAAACTATTTCTTACAAATCTTTGCATATTAAATTTTAAATAAATTTTTGTTGCTTTGTGTACTAGTAATAATATTATTTAATCTGCCAATTCCCAGAATCTATGAAAAATTTTCCTGAATGTAACAGCAATTACAAAGTGAAAAAATAAGATGGTTAAAAAAGAGGCGGACGAAGGTTGCTTTTGGACTGCTTCTAACTGGCCGAAGTTGTTGTTTTTAGGGGCTACGTCTGGTCCACAGCATTTGATCTCTGTCTCGATCTTGAACGTGCTCATCTTCCAGCTGCAGGCCTCGCCTCATGCTGTTGTAAATTGTTTTGTAAATTTGATATACTTGCAGTTTTTGTAGGGCTCCTCTGTCTACTTCATTATCATTGTGCTGTTGCTGTTGCTGTGGATGTTGCTGGTGTGCAATGGATGTTGCTGCCGTGCTGCTGATGTTGCTGCTGTACTTGTTCATTAGTCCATGCCCTCTCAGCAGTGACAACAAGAGCAGAAAAAAACAGCAGTAGCCCGCGCTGTTCATAAACTTCTAAAATCAACTGCTGCCCTCTGTTTTCTCCGCTTGTTGCTTTATTTATATCTGTATCTGTATCTGGCCGATGTATCTACAAGCTGCAAGAATGCCTGCTTATTGCTGATTACTTTTATTGCCTCTGTATGTGATTCATTACTTTCTGAGATAAGGTGGTTTGTCGCCTGGTTTCATTGCTCTCGTTCTTCTACCTTTTTTCTTAGCTTTAAGTGCTATTGAATTTTTAGACAATTACATCATTGTCTTTCATGCTGCTGAACTTGCATTGGTTTATTTTTAGTCCGACTAAATTTAATTTCGCGTTAGGCCTTCTTGGCTGCCTGCTTCGCTGGTGATTCATCAGCTTGGGCAGATGTGGACCCAGCCCAAAAATTTCGTTGTCCCTTTTTATGTGGTCACATTCCAGCCACGAAAGTGTACAGAAAATGTGTGTGTATATTGATGATAAATTTAATTTTTGGGAAAATAAAAACCTGGTTTTACAACAGGATCAACTAAATCATTTTTGCTGTAGTTATTTTATTTAAAGACACAATTTAAGTTTTTAGTTTATTAGGAATTAGCCATCTTTTATTTTCCCCTTATTTCTGGTATGCCCACAATGATCTTGTTTATTACGCTTAGTTTAATTTAAAAAGCCTCCTTGGTTGACGTCTTCGCAGTTTTGCCTTCGTCATTGGAGCTTCGTTTCCCTCGAAGACCCGGCTTTTGGAAGAATCCGATCCCGAGTTCGTCGGTTTGAAAATTTACGAGGCAGTACGAATCGCGACTTGGAAGCGAGCGGTTCGCAATTCGCAGCGTGAATTCGACTTTGATTTTCAAAGCTTTCGATCCGATTCGCCTGACTTTGTTGCTATTGTTATTAGTATGCATTATTACTCGCTGCCGGTTCCAATTGACATTAAAATTGATAAGCGGCAAACTAAAAATAAAACTAGAGGCCCGTTGCGGGTTGCATAAAAAGTAATGCGAAGTGGTTTCCTGAGTTGCATAAACTGTCGAATGCAGCAGGAAGCGAACGGCGGTGTTTTTATTTATTTTTTAGCTGGTGTTCGCCTGGCTTGCCGAAAAGAAAAAGTGAAATATGAAATATGAAATTATGAAAAACGGTGCACAAATATCAAAGTGTTTCAAGGCTGGCTATTCCACTTGTGTGGACACATAAAGAAAAATATAAATACCCACCCACCTGCAAATGAAACTTTCTCAAAGTGCGACTGTCAAAATAAAATCTTTGAAATGAAATCTCCCAAGTGACCGCAATCGCGTTGGCCATTACAAATCGTGTAGAAAAGATTCGGAAACAGAACCAGAACCCACGCAAATTGTTCAGAAATAACAATTTCATTTTATTCAGTGCAAAGTCTGTTCTGAAATCTAAAAGGCGCATCTGTTTTCACATCTACATGCACTGCAAATGTCTATATTAGATGTGGAAAATTTACAGAAAGATGACACAAATTTCTAAGGGGCGCAAAATCAACAATTAGCAATTAATTCCCATAAATCACAAAAGAGGCATCAGTTGTTGTTGTTGTTGATTCGTGCTGTTCTAAATTTGGTTTATTTACCTACGTGAGCTGTTTGCATATGTCGCGCCTCAGATAAACCTGGCAAATAATAATGAAGATGATACAAAGAACGCAGTGGAAATGTGGAAACCCCACCAAATATTTGCACATTAAAGAGGGAAATAAAAGGATTACTTTTGGAACAGATAAATAATGGAATGCAAAAATATCTGACTTGAAAGGCAAATTAAAGTTAATGCCTATTCTTGATAGATAAAAACTAAGCAATATTAAGTTATGTAAACCTTTAGCAAATTTCATATTTATGGTTTTAAATCATTGATGAAAACTATATTTTGTTCATTGTTGCTAGTAATAAAACTAGATTGTTGCAGTTGGCGATAATTTTTTTATAAGGAACTGAATCATTTAAATGAGATATAAATTTCCCAAGAACGACATGAATCATATAAATATTTTGTGTGATTCGAATTAATTATAAATTCAACCTACTTTATAAAATATTAAAGTGGAAGATAGCAGAAATTATCTGTTTTAATTGATAATAAATTAAACTATTGCAAATATGGTAGGACAAAATAAATTATGAGCTCTAAAAAACAAATTTCGAAAATTTTCAACGTCTGACCCTTAAAGGGTTAAGGTTTCTTTCTGAATTCGCTGAAAGAAGTTCTTTGAAATGAAAGTTGCCCATTTGCTGGCTCCCTTGCACCCGCACGTTCTTATCAGACATAACAAACTACTTGACCCAAGGAGACCCAACCAGAACAAAAACAACAACAACAACGGCATAACAGCATCATCAGATTGCCAAACAGAATTCTGCGCAAGTGCAGCAGAACAGACCTCTCCCCAATAAGCGAGCGAGAGGCCAACAAACTTAACGAAAGAGAGAGGAGGGCTCCTCAAAGAGAGGCAGAGCTCCAAGAGCGACGCGCGCAACTGTCGTCAAGTTTTTGGGGAGCAGTATCGCGTCGGCATTAAACGTTTAAGTTCAAAACGAGGAGCCAAAGAGAAGAGAACGACCGCGAGGCGCAACGGAATACAAAAAGCGTCAAAGAAATAAAAGAATCACAAACCGAAACTCGTACAAAAAAAACATATTGCAAACTAAATAAATAAATAAAGATCGCGATATCGGATGTCCGACAAGATAAAAATACGCACTAATGCAGATATAAGTATAAATATTAATGCAAACAGCGGCGCAAAGTGTAAAACGCAGCGGACATCACTTGACGAAAGGTGTGTGGGGATTTAATCCTTAATTCCCGTTAAAAAATAAATTATTAACAAAGAAAAATGAATAAGCTAATATTGAATAAGATTTTGCAATGTTTTGATTCTCATTAGGTCAATAAAGTCGTGAAAACCAATTGGAATCTATCAAAATATTTTTAAACCAAAGTATTTTTCGAGAAATTCATCTAATGCTTAGCAAAAAAAAAAGAGTGTAATAAACTACAGAAAAAGATTACAAAATAGAAACCCAGTTTTAGCCAATTATTAAAAAATATATGTATATTTTTTAATCAATAAAGGTAAACTAAAGCCACGAACAAAGAGTTATACCAGTCACGGAAGGCATTGCTAAATTAATAAAAAACGCAAGTAAATATTTTGCAATGTGTTCCGTTCTGCAGCCAAGTGAATGCCAGCCATTAAATTAAATAAAGTATTCCATTATTTAACCAATCCCCTTGTAGAGTGATGTGATGTCATAATAAAACTTTGCCCTTATCGACAATAATAAAAAAACAAAAAGAAGAAGTGCAAAAACGATATCAGCGGAAAAGCGAGGTAAAAGTTAATAAATACCCGCCAACGAAATCAAATTGCAATTTGTGATAACAAAGCGAGCATGACGGACTACACGGATTACTTGGATTCGGCCTGGGAATATGCGGAGTGGCTGCCCTACCTGCTGGTCACCTACGTGCTGATCACCCTGCTTCCAAAGTCCATGATCCGGATAAAACGCTTTGCAGATGCGGATTACGAAGCGAACAGGAACAAGTTCCATCGCTGCTACGGTCCGGAGCTGTGCTGCCATGTCCTGGCCCAGGAGCAGGCGGCGGGAAAGGTCAAACCCAAGGCCAGAAAGCCGGTGACCCGAGTTTATCCCAAGCGTCAGCAGGTGACCCCGAAAGCAGAGCTTCCACCTCCAAGTCCGGCGCCTGTGAAGCGGAGTAATGTCACCAAGATCGCCCGGATGTTTGAGACCGGCACCACACGCCAGGTGAACCGGGTGGCACCTGTAACGCTGCCCGAGATCCGGATGTTTGGAGCCAGCGATGAGTCCAGGGATTCAACGCCCTGCGCCTCGAGGAAAACAAGCATTGCTAGTCAGCTCTCGGCTCAGTTGCAGCACATTGAGCAGACGATGCACCTGTGGCAGGAACTAGAGGAGGAGCCCCCGAAGAAGTCACCAGCCCACAGCAATGATTGGGAACCCATGGCAGTGCCAGTTTCGAGACGCACCAGGGGCACCTCAGCCACGCCCTCCACGGCCTCGCCTCTCTCCAGCTCCCCGGAACCAGAGCACCCTTCTCCAGTTCTGCTGAGGAAACCGCCTTCGCTGTGCCTGCAGACCAGTATGGAGGACATCTTTCAGGTGATTGCCCGGAGTGCCGAGGAGCAGGAGGACTGTCCGGACTGCCACTGTCTGTCGCCGGTGACCTGCATCGATGACATACTCTCCGAGAGGAGGTTCTCAAGGCCCCTGTCCGCCTACTCCATCACCGATCTCCTCAACGAAGAGCAGGCCTCCTGTGTGGAGGAGACCACCTATATTAATGAAACCAGATGAGCAGCGCAGAGGGATCGATGCCCCACCAGGGTCGTTTTATAGTGCCATCCCCCAGGGTCAGATGGAATCACCAGGAAGACTTCCCATCCAGGCATTTGTTCGGGAACAAAGCCACTGGAGACCTTGCCAAGCCTCACATTTCCTACAGCCCCCTGCATTTTGTTTGTTTAATCGATGAAAACTTAAGCAAATCAAAGTAGAAACTCTTCAACTCAAGTCGCAATTGGCAATCGAAGCCTCCCTGTACTTAGTTAACCTTATAAATTGTATAAACGTTCTTATTTGTCCATTAAACCAAACCCAATTTGTAATTGCGAAGCATCTCATTAATGAGTAGAGAACAGTACTGCTAAACTAATATGCTGATTGTATGTATTAACTATAAATAAATATGAATTTGTATTTTAGTATTACTTATCGTTAAATGTACTATATGTTATAAATGAAAATTGTATAAAATGCAACAAAATTCGTAATAAAGAGCAACTATTGTGTATTTTCGTTTGCACAGCTGCTAGAAGCATTCGAAAAATTTTAGATGAATGTTGATTATCTATTATTTGCACTTTTACCCTGCTACAGCTGCCAGCTAATTTATTTTGCAGTTTGGCAAGTCTTCAACCATCGAAGCGTGTCTTCGACCTGAAACACAATTTGTCAAATAAATTGACGCAAATCAAAACGTTGGAGCGATCATTAATTACAAATTGGGAGATGGGAAAAGTATTCGCCGCAAAATGATTGTGATGTGAGGTAATTTCGTTGCTGTGGCTTTTGATTGATTCGATGGCGAACGAAGGCACTGAAGCGGATTTAAAATGTGGAGGAGCTTAAAAATACAGATACCCTACGGTGAAAGGTCTGGGGAGTGTTGCTCAGAACATTGAACCTTGGACATTGCAACAAGTGGCCAGTGCAATAAAAATAAGAAAGAATAATAAATCTGTCCACAGCTGGCGACCTTATCAATCCCATTCTGTGTCTCTTGAGTTGATGTGGCCGCACCCATGGAACTATAACTATAGATAAAGTGGCTCAATGGATACATCAGTTCCGGGGAAAATTTCCAGTTTATTTATCCACAATTAAGCTACAAAATTAGCCAGATGCCCACGCATTGCGCACTTGATCTTAACCAAATAGTAAATGGCAACCTTTAATTTGGCCTAATTGGTCTTGGCTTGGCTTGGTTTAGTTTTACCGGTTGCCAAATTCCACCAAAAAAAGAAAAATGAATATGTTCATATGCTAATTTTAACATTTTCTGTAGTTTCGAATATATATTTTTCAGCGCATGCAAAACCAAATGTCAATAAAGCGACGCAAATAAGCAAATAACACAGGCACAACAACAGCCGATAAAATATTGTAAATTGGCCTTTATTGGTTGAGATTCTGTGGCGTCATACCTTTTGGATGATGTGTTTATAGCTTTTTTGGGCTCTCCTCAAACGGAAGAATTCTACCTTTCAATTTCCATCACATCATCGGCTAACCAAATTTCTGTCGCGCTTTGTTTTCCTTGTTCATTAGCAGCCTGCTTTTACCCAGCTTTTATGCGTTTTATCAATTTGTATATGGGATGATTCATTCCGAGGGGTTCGAATTCATTGATAGGTGGCTTTGTATGACACATGCTGAATTCAAGAGAAATAAATTGAGGAAAGAGTTAAGAGGGTCCTCAAGGTTGGCTACTATTTTTGTCTCTTCGTGTGAGTGATTGACAATGAGGAGTTTTAAATTATCATAATAAATGGCAGTGCAGAATTACCCATAATTTTTATAACCAAGTTGCGGAAGGCATGTGCGCAGAAATGGGGTCGGAGTTGGGCAAACATAATCTGGAATTCCTAAACATTGCATAATCATAATCATAATAATTCATATCAGACATAAATTTAACAACATTAAACAAGATATGACGATTATGAACTTCACCCCAAGACACACTTTTGGTCAGATAAGATTGCTTTGTTATATCTTTTATCGATGTTCGAGTCACGCCATAACTTATGCTGATGCCCATGTAAACACATGAATTAAGTTTTTGCTTTGCACTGACAGTTTAGGAATGTAAACAAAACAAGGCGAGTGCAGGGGAGTCGAATGAGCGTTAAACCATGCACGCCGCTTCCCATATCGGTAGCTACTCGTTTTCTTATCTTTCCGCGGAACTGAGAGTCAAAACACTAGCAGAAAAATATATATTTATTTGCGGAAAAGGATTGTTGATTTAAGACGGCTTTGTTATTGAGGGCAATAAGATATAAACACAGAAAAAATATGGGTATTTAATGTATGTTTGTAGAAATTACATTAAAGATTGTGTTTACTATAAAATAAGAGAAGGCAAATTAATTTATGACATTGCAGAATAATTGTGAATTTTTCCAACAGCATTTTTTGATTTGACGGCCATATTCATAAACTTTAATCTATATACATTCTGCAATATCTTTAAATTATTATAATTACCGAAAAATTCATAGTTTTATTGCAATTAGCTGCAGGATACGATACCTACTTTTTACTAGAAATACTCTATCTAGCCAGTAAATGGTCTAGCAGCTTCCTATCGCTTTGCTCGTTTATCACAATTCAGCCTGATATTCCCCAGTGCACCCTTATCTAATCGCATGACTCGCACTGTCTCCGCTCGAGCTCGCCATCCAGTTGGCGGGTCTAGAGCTCTAGAGCTTCGCCGAAGGTGCGCAATTAGCCAGGCGGCGATTGGCAGTCGCCAGATTGGCATTGTGCGGGCTGGCAGCAAACCCCTCGAGTTCCCGATTCGTTTACATTTGCGCATCCATCGCGGTTTACTAATGGAGCGTACTTGGCACTGAAGACCTTCAGAGTTCGAGGTGTGCCAGGGAAATGCGACACAACAGCTGGAAAATAGTAAATCGCTAATAATAAACAAACAAGCTATTAAAACGCCGGCATGGAAAAAGTAAAACTGGTAAAAGCTTTTTCCTCATCCCAAAACCGTTGACAAACAGAAGCGTTTTCGGCCCCATTCGTCGTGAGTCATCGCAATTGGGAACAACCCAGCCGATAAGGCCGCCAGATTGTTGACCATATATTCGAGGCTATTAAAACTTTGTTAATTTCTTTATAAACGCGTTCATATTTGGGGCTTAGAGCGTGGGAGGTCTAAAATTTTGGAAAGTGAATGTAATCACGATCTCGTTTGTTTTTTGGATTTCAGGAATCGCTATCTTTGGCCCACTCGCTGTCGGACAAGCCGCTGCCCCCCTCCCCGTTGATTCCCACCAGTTTGGAGGGCGGCAAAGTCTCGGATCGTTTGAGCAAACTCAAGTGCAACTCGGAGAACTGGAAGCAGCGCATAGGTAAGTGTTAGACTATGCCCCACAAATCCAGGAACCCCATTCACTTGAATGCCAATTCCACAGAGCAAACCGATGCCAAGAAGTTCACAGTCGCTGGCCGACTGCAAAAGAAGGCCCAATCCCCCGTGGAGCTTCAATTCGAACGTTCCGCCAACGATGTGGCCAAGAAGTGTCCCATGCTGGAGGTGCGCAGCGCCAACCAGCCGCAACTCGGCCTGGCCAAGAGCCCCTCCATGATGGTCACCTCCAGCACCAATAATAGCACAGCCAACAAGACCGCACTCCGTAGTCTGAGTGTCAATCCCGAGGAGGAGGTGCCCACCAGCTTGAGCCGCTCCAATAGCAGCAGCTCGGATTCGGACGGAGAACGCAGCTCCCCGCAGAATGCCAAGCAGAACAAGGAACTGGCCAACAACAAGAGTGCCGCAGCTCCCACGAATGTGGGTGCCAGGATTCAAGTGCCTCGTCTGGACGACAAGGAGACCTTCGAGAACTTCTTCGCCTCGAAGCCCAAGAAGGAGGAGGAGGGCGTGGAGCTGGAGATAAGCGCCTTCGATGACATTAAGCCCACAGAGCGGTAAACTATATTTAAAATATTAATTCTTTATTGATCAAAGTTCTAAGCAAAAAAAAGAAAAAGGTTTCAAATGCTGATAACTAAAATAATTGATTTAGCCAGGAATAAGGTTATGTTTAAAATACGACTAAATAACTTAATGGGGACAATTTTTTGAAAAGATTTAACTACCTTTATAAATTATTTATTTATCTAAATAGCAACCAACAAATTGGTAATGTGTAAACTATGATACAGATTAACTTTGAAATAGTTACACCTCCTTAGCTTAGTACTTTTCTTAATGCTTCATTTATGTACATTAATTTTGGGGTATACAATTTAGGTTACACTCAAGTAAAAAGCGAGAATGAATTCAAAATTCTAAATTAAAATTCCTCTTTAATACAGCCTGGTAAGCAAGCGCCACGTGCAGGGTCCCAAGGGACGCCGGGCCGCACGCAATCCTCTCAAGAGTTTGGCAGCACGCGAGGACATCACCTCGGAGTACACGGAAATGAGGACGGGCATAGCCGATCGGGAACTGCGTCGCCTCAAGCTGGAGTCATGTAAGTTGCCCCATCATTACTTTTATTCAATACCCAGCTAAAGTTAACCTTTTCCCCTAACAGATGGCCATAATGCCAACCTGGCTGCTGAGGCCATTGCCGGCCTGGCCTCCATTGAAGACTTCAAGTCGGTGGCCCTGCGCTCCTCTTCGATTCCCCTGCAGCAGATGTGGCTGCCACAGAAGCCGGTGATGCTGCTCCACGTCAAGGGACGCACCCATGTCCAAACCCGACTAGTCGAACCCGTTCACACCTCCCTGAATCGAGGTGATTGCTTCATTCTGATCGCCGGATCGCAGCTCTTCCGCTACGTTGGATCCTTTGCCAACGTAATTGAGATCTCGCGCAGCAAGAAGATCTGCGCAGCCATTGTGGAGAACAAGGATCTCGGATGCACGGCCAGCCAGGAGGTGATCCTCACGGATGGCAAGTACTTAAAGGAGCGGCAGTGGCGTCAGTTCTGGCAGCTGTTAGGCAAAAAGGAGGATGACCAGTCGGAGATAGCTGAGTGCGGTCATGCGGATGAGGACGATGTGTTCGAGAGCAGTCTGATCGATACCAACAAGATCTACGAGTACCAGGATGAGGCTCTCGTCCCACTTGAAAAGTTCTGGGGCTGCATCCCCAAGGTGGACATGCTGGATACGCGAAAGGTGCTGGTCTTTGACTTTGGCAGTGAGCTGTATGTGTGGAACGGCAAGAATGCCCCATCGGATGCCAAGCGAGCTGCCATGCGTTTGGCCCAAGAACACTTTGGTGCTGAGGATTCGGCGGACTACGCCGAGTGCTACTTGAATCCTTTGAACTACGTATCCATTGTGGGTCGCCGCGAGAACTCAAAGTATGCCAAGAGGTCCGCTCAACGCCCGGAGTGGTGTGTTCTCGGCAAGATCACCCAGAACATGGAGACGGTGCTGTTCAAGGAGAAGTTCAGTGATTGGCCGGAGTTGGAACGTGAGGATCTGGAGAAGGACTACCTCTCGAATGGAGTCCATGTGGTGCGCGCCCTGAACGGAACTGCTTTGCACAAGGGAGAACCCTACCTGGAACCAAATCTGGTGCTGGAACAGGCCAATCTGGGTCGTGGCAATTTCTACTACGACACCGATACCATGCGGCACTTTGATGTGATCACCAAGTCCACGGACAAGTGGCAGATCCACGAGTTCAACTTTGATGCGGCCAATAACCGCGAGGACTACGGTCACTTCTACTCGGCGGAGAGCTACATAGTGCGCTGGATCTACCAGATTTCGGTCACAGTTCGCGAACTGAGTGGCAAGGTCTCGAATAGGAGCACAGTTGGACGCGACAGGTGCGTCTACTTTACATGGCAGGGCCAGGACTCGAGTGCCAACGAGAAGGGAGCCGCTGCTCTGCTGACCGTGGAATTGGACAAAGAAAAGGGCGCCCAAATGCGGGTTTCACAGGGAGACGAGAGCACAGCCTTTGTCCGCCTGTTCCGGCAAATGTGGCAGCATCGTGGACGCAAAGAACAGTGTCTGGAGCGGCGTGGCCAGTGGAGACTCTACCAGCTGCAGGGCAACGTCAACGAGGAGACGCTCTTGAAGGAGGTAGAGTGCCAGTCCAGTCAGTTGCGCTCTCGCAGTTCCATGCTGTTGATCCATGGAACCCAGGGAAATGTAATTGTTTGGCATGGATCGAAGACTGCTCCCCACACTCGAAAAGTGGCCTTGGAGGCGGCCCAGGATCTGGTGAAGCAGTTGCCCAAGGATCTCTTCTGCAGCGATGCAGCCCGCTTAAGCGAAGAGGAAGAGGGTTCCGAGGAGGAGCAATGCAAGAAGGCCTTGGGATTGAAGGAGCAGAGGGAGGACTACGGAAGCCTGCTGAAGGCCACCAAGTCATTCGATTACCAAATAAGGATCTTCAACTTCTCCAGCATCCAGGGCGTGTTCAAAGCCCTGGAACTGAGCGATCCCCTGCGCTGTCAGGATCTGCACAGTCCATATCCCTTCAGTCAAGCTCAGCTGTACAATGCTAGGCAACCCACGATCTTTCTGCTGGACGATGGCGATGAGCTGTGGCTCTGGATGGGATGGTGGCCCTTAGAGGATGTGAAGAGTAAGTACCTGGCTATAATGTTATAAGTAATACCCATTGATTAATATTTTCATTGCTCTTATAGTAAATACCGACGAGCGAAGCAGTCCCACGAACGACAACCGGGCTGGAGTAAATCGCTGGATCTCAGAGAGACGCGCTGCCCTCGAGACAGCCGTCGACTATTGGCGTGCCAAGCACGGCGAGAACGAGAAGGACCCCTTCCATGGCATCAAGGGTCAGGTGGTGTGGGCAGGCCTGGAGCCACTGGCCTTCAAGGCACTATTTCCTGACTGGACCGAACGGTCGGATGTGAGGGAAATCAATGAGGAGGTAAGACTAAGAGCTCTTTCACATAAACAGTATATTATAATTGTATTCCCTTTGCAGGATGGACGAACAAATGAAACCATTACCATCGGCACAATGCTGGCACAAATGACACAGACCGAGTATCCGCTGGAGGTCCTGAAAGCACGTCCTTTGCCCGAGGGAGTGGAGCCCACGCGACTGGAGGTCTACCTAAATGCCGACGATTTCCAGGCGGCCCTCGGCTGCAGCCGAGCGGATTTCGAGCAGCTGCCCATCTGGAAACAGACCAAGCTGAAGAAGGAGCGTGGGCTGTTCTAGGAGAGAGGCACAATGCAACCTTATAGACTTGAACACAATCACAAAACACAAACCAATCACTTTTCTAAGCACTTTTTGTAGGCGGCAATGCTTTTGCAACGGACACAGACAGATCTGAACTATCGTATTCTATAGGCCTATATAGTATAGCATATACACACGTGCGCATATCCCTATGTACTCTCTATTTTACACACATTACATAGCCTTTATATATGTAACGACTATTATACAAGTGCACGATGCCAGGCAATAAATTTCAACTCGCTTCATTTAATAGCTGATCGTGGTTTAAAGCTCTTCGATTTTACATTGTACATAATATTAAGTTGAGTTGTTTTATTATTATTTTATTTTATACTTTATCGATTTAACGAAATTGCATTTGTTTAATCTCTGCAAACACCAAAAAAAAAAACGCAACGAGCTCTCTCGTTATATAATTGTTTTCAATTCTAAATCATTTTAATGTTAGCTTTATTTTCCTAATTTTATAACTATGTATTTGTGTTTTATTATGTTTAAAACTATTGCTTATATTTAATTTTTATTAAATAACATTTTATTGTATTTTAAGTTTTCGTTAATACTTTACTTATCTGGGTTATTGGCACTTTATAGAGGTACTGAACATTTTTATCTTGGGCCAATCCTTTATTTCTAGGTTAAAGTTCCACCAAGATCCTGCCAAATTCTCCAGGATGAGAAAGGAGTTCCGCCTAGACAACTTATGTTATTGCAAACTTTGAAAAATATTAAAGAAAATAAATTTGACTCATTGGTCTTTTAAAAATGAAATATTTGTATTTAATTATTTAATTTTAAGGTGAAACTATCAGCGTAAGTAGCTTAGCGCGTCAGCAGCCGACCGTTGCGCTTGTGCCATTTTAATTTGTTATTGTGCGCATTTGGGCGCTATTAAAATTCCACAGCTGCCCGCACAATTTGGGGAGCACTGGGAGGTATTTCTGCAAATCATGTACGCCATGATAAGGGTTAGTTAAATAAACTTACATTTTAAGTTTCGCTTTGCATCTGTTTTGATAATATATAGTAAGCATAAGATTATTCTAAGTATTAATACATATTTAGCTTAAGATTATCTAAATGTTACAACCTAATCTGTAAGAATAAAGTGAATAAAAAATCTCGCATGCGATATTTTTCTTTGGGAAGTAGGTTATGGGTCGTTTGTATGGATAACAAATTTCGCGCACGATCCACAAAAGAAATATAAATCGCATATGGCCCACATGCCATCCACAAAACATCGCATACGATTCACAAAACTTTGCATGCGATCCACATAGGATCCACATGCGTCCCACACACATTTGGTATGTTTTAAATTTGGTCGTGATGTGGATCGAATGTGGAACCCAAGTGGATCGCATGCAAAGTTTTGTGGATCGTAAACGCATACGATCCACAAAACTATACATAAGATCCACATATGTTCCACATGCATTCCACACACATTTTACATGTTTACATTTTGGTCGAGCTGTGGAACGCATGTGGAACGCATGTGGAACGCATGTGGAACGCATGTGTAGTTTTGTGGATCGTATGTGTACCGTATTCCTTTTTCCGTTTTGTAGATCGCATGCGGATCGTATGCAACATTTTTAATCCACCTCAACCACCCATAACCGACACCCAACAAAAAATTATCGCATGCAATATTGTCGAACTCAAAAATCACCCCCAAAACAAAAAAGTGTTTTTTTATTTAAAAACTTTATTATAATAGATTAAGTATGTAACGTCTAGATAATCTTACGATAGTCTTAAGCTAAATAAGTATTAATATTTAGGATAATCTAAGACTAAATATGTATTAACATAACAATGAATAACAAATTAGCCTAATTTAATATTAGTGTATATTAAGTACTTTCACTTTTACGTTAACTATTGATTTCAGAATGATTTGGAAAAATATATTTTTTGACCGATTTTCGTATTTTTCATAAGGGGTTGGTCAAACATAAATTTTTATACGATCATGAAATAATAGTCATGGTCCAAGGGTTTGATCAAAAAACCGAACAATCGGGCTGATTATGGCCATAATAAAAACATATATTTAGACACTCATTTTTTAAGGGTTTTTGTTGTAACTTTTTTAAAATAAGACGCACAGCCAAAAGAATGACTGTTTTGCGCAGCTGAGAACCAATACAATCAATTCCAGGTGGATTTCGTAAATTTTAATTTTTGACCGATTTTCGCATTTTTCATAAGGGGTAACACTTGATTTTTTGCCAATTTTGGGCCAAAATAAAAATTTTTAGCTGAGAATACCAATCGATTGGAAATTTTGCAACGAATTCAACGAGGTATGGCATTCCAAGATACGACCATTATTTCCAAGAATTTTCATTAAAAAACTGAAAAATCGAGCCCTTTTTTTCTGCATATTGGCCATGAAAAACATATATTTAAGATACATTTTTCAGCGTTTTTGTTGTAATTTTGCCAAAATGGGCCGCACTGCCAAAAGAATGACTGTTTTATGCAGCTGAAAACCTATACAATCAATTCCAGGTGGATTTGGTAAATTTTATTTTTTTACCGATTTTCGCATTTTTGATAAGGGGTAACACTTGATTTTTTGTCAATTTTGGGCCAAAATAAAAATTTTTAGCTGAGAATACCAATCGATTGTAAATTTTATAACGAATTCAATGAGGTATGGCATTCCAAGATACGGCCATTATTTCCAAGAGTTTTCATTAAAAAACTGCAAAATCGAGCTGTTTTTTTCTGGATTTTGGCCATCAAAAACATATATTTAAGATACATTTTTCAGCGTTTTTGTTGTAATTTTGCCAAAATGGGCCGCACTGCCAAAAGAATGACTGTTTTATGCAGCTGAGAACCTATACAATCAATTCCAGGTGGATTTGGTAAATTTTATTTTTTGACCGATTTTCGCATTTTTGATAAGGGGTAACACTTGATTTTTTGTCAATTTTGGGCCAAAATAAAAATTTTTAGCTGAGAATACCAATCGATTGTAAATTTTATAACGAATTCAATGAGGTATGGCATTCCAAGATACGGCCATTATTTCCCAGTGTTTTGATCAAAAAACCGAGAAAAACCTGATTTTTTCGGATCTCCGGATTTCAGCATTTTTCATTTTTGGCAAAAAACCTACCAAAATAAAAATTTTTAGCTGAGAATACCAATCGATTGGAAATTTTGCAACGAATTCAACGAGGTATGGCATTCCAAGATACGACCATTATTTCCAAGAGTTTTCATTAAAAAACTGAAAAATCGAGCTGTTTTTTCTGGATTTTGGCCATCAAAAACATATACTTAAGACACATTTTTTCAGCGTTTTTTGTTGTAATTTTGCCAAAATGGGCCGCACTGCCAAAAGAATGACTGTTTTGTGCAGCTGAGAACCTATACAATCGATTCCAGGTGGATTTGGTAAATTTTATTTTTTGACCGATTTTCGCATTTTTTATAAGGGGTAACACTTGATTTTTTGCCGATTTTGGGCCAAAATATAAATTTTTAGCTGAGAATACCATTCGGTTGTAAATTTTATAACGAATTCAATGAGGTATGACATTCCAACATCTGGCCATTACTTCCTAGTGTTTTGATCGAAAAACCAAGAAAAAAAACTGATTTTTTCGGATCTCCGGATTTCAGCATTTTTTATAAGGGGTTACATTGTCATTTTTGGCGAAAAACCGCCCAAAATAAATTTTTTTAGCTGAGAATACCATTGGATTGGAAATTTTGTAACGAATTCAGCGAGGTATGACATTCCAAGATCTAACCATTATTTCCAAGGGTTTTGATCAAAAAACCGAAAGATCGAGCTAATTGTTTCGGGCTTTTTGCCTTAAAAAACTTTTATATATAGGTCTTCTAGCCGCTCTAGAACTACATTATTGAATGCGTGAACAACTGTCTTGTATTTCTAGTTTATTTTACATAATTTAGTTAAACTATTCCCTAGGCTTATACTGTAAATTTTGGGACAATCCGTGTCATGTGAGTCTTAGATGCGAGTCTAGTGAATTAACTATTGTTAAATTTAAAATCCAACGCTATTTCCTAGTTCGATGCCTAAGCGGATGCCAAGTGGATTTCCCGGATGAGTCGGGCAACCAGTTCGCAGCAGGCCTTCTGTCTGGTCTTCGCCACAGCCATAACCTAAATAGGATGAAATAAGTGAGTATTCAAATTAACTTTTGATTTTCATTGAAAACATACCTCTTCGTGGTTGGCCTCGTCGTCCTTCTTGTCGCTGTACTCGGTCGCGCACTTATTCGTGATGAGGCTGAAGGCGAACACCTTCATGTCGCAGTGCCGGGCAGTGATCACCTCGTGGACAGTCGACATGCCCACCGCATCCACGCCCATCATGCGCAGGGCCTTCAGTTCGGCGATGGTCTCGTAGTTGGGTCCGCCCAGGCAGGAGTAGACGCCCACATGGATGTTCGACTCGATGCCCATGGCCTTGCCGATCTCGATGGCCTTGTTGATGAGGTCCTTGTTGTACGAGTTCACCAAAGCGGGGAAGCGGGGTCCGAACCGAGGGTCATTGGGTCCCTGGAGCGGCGAGTTGCCAGCGAATCCCAGCATGTTGACATGGTCGTGCATCAGCATGATGTCGCCCACCGCAAACCGGGGGTTGATGCCACCCGCCGCATTCGTGGCGAACAGGTACTCCACTCCGCACAGCTTCATCACGCGCACCGGCATCGAGCACTTGGCCAGAGGATATCCCTCGTAGAAGTGGAACCGGCCCTGCATCGCCATCACAGTTGCGCCCTCGAGGGTGCCGACCACCAGCCTGCCGGCATGGCCCTCAACTGTGGATACCGGGAAATTGGGGATCTTCTCGTACTCGAAGATCTTCGGGTCCTGGATGATATCGGCCAGAGAGCCGAGCCCAGAACCGCAGATAATGCCGATCTTGGGGCGCATTCCGGAGCCCTTGACAATGAAGTCGGCGATCTCCTCGATGACCTCATAGGGATACCTGTCGAAAGCCAATAATATAGTTAGTTTTATTTCTGGTTAATAACTATGTAGCATTTGAAGACAAATATTGTAAACTATTAAAGTTTAAAAGAATATGTGACTGGACAAAAATAAATATGATTTCGTACATGGTACACAGACAGGAGATCTTTTTTATCTTCTCGCCACGATGATAAAAGAAGTACTGCAGAAATGGAATTCCCAGAGGAAACAATAGATACAAATACCAATTGAACATATGAAACTGGGAGAATATATATATATATTATTATCTTTCCTAGGGAATATCAGTAGACCAATAACAATTTTATCAATGATGATGATATGATAGTACTTTTGAACAGTAATAACTCTGAGAAATGGGTCTTCTTTTTTAGAAGAGCTTCTACATAAATATCAATGGGGATAATGAATTTACAACAGTTTATAAATGCTTAAATGATGGAATATTAAAACACATACATTTTACGAATCAAACTATCAATCAGTTTGATGAACTTTTTATAGAAATTAAAAGACAACACAGAAATTCGTATTTTGGACAAGGATGACTTAGAAGAATTAAGGCACTCTTCGTTAAGATCCATATCAGTTTCTTTTCACTGCCAATTATATAATAACAGATATTTGAGTACACTCGATGACTATAAAACACAAAGAAACAAAACCCGAAAGAATTGGTCTACAAACGTGTCTTCGTTGAGAACCCGCAGGGCTCTTAACTCTTCAGGCGTTAGGTCACATCGGATTTTTCCATTTCCGCTGCAATTATGTAGAGAAATTGTTTTGCTGAGTAGTTGCCAAAAGTTTAATGATATACAGATATGAAGCTGAAATATATATGTCAAAATAACACTGAGATACGGACCCCCTATACAGACATGGTTTATTTCTTTGAAATCGAAAAAATGTGGTACAATTTGCTAGAGTATTTTTGTTTATCTTGTTATAATCGAGTTGGTTTACACCAGTAATTAAGTTCTATTACAGCCATAAAGAATTCAGCTGGTTCGAGGCTCAATTGCACGAACTTGAACTGCAAGTCGAGTTATGTTAAGATGTTGTTACTCGAACTGATCTCATTACCCCACACGTGTTTGTTTTCGGATCTGTTCAAATTAAGTGATAAGCCCCAGATGATGACGCTGTGTATTATCAATATTACAGGGGGAAAACAAAAACAAGCCTCTCAAAGAAAACATAAAGTGCGTCATTAAGATGAACAGCACAATCACGCATAACTTCCACTAATTGGGAGCTAAAATCCCTTTAATAAATTGGTCTTTCGGTAGCCAGTCGTTTATGGAAATTCGATTTAAACACGCGACGCGATATTTTCGCCGCTTCATCAATATTCAGCATTGTGTATTTCCATCGAAACGAAAACAAGTTTCGAAACTAATCAATGCGGCAACATGTTTTAGTTGCGTTCTTTATCGGACCATTTGCCAATTACTCGTATCTGTAGGAAAGATTACTATGAAGGGGGCCTATGTCAAGATCAAGGAACACACCCGCTTTGGCAGCCAATCAGCGGTGGCCAATTCCATAATTAACTGGGCAATAAACACTTACATAAGCAGATGGCAATCTTAGCTTTTTATCAGTTAATGGTTTTCGGTACACAGAAAAAATAAGGCAAAAGACTTAAAATAAACTTTAAGAATTCAAAATATTAATAGCAATGTAAATAATCGTTTAAAAGAAATCTTTAAGGAAACTATTACATATTTCCTGAACAATACATTTTCTTAAAATGCCAAATAAATTTATTAATTATCAAAGTTCCTTTAAAATTAATTTTTTCTGTGTGGTAAATGGGAATGAACCCAATCAAAACCACTCCATATAATCGTATGCAGACTAAAGATTTTTCGAATGGGATTTTAATGACTAGCCAGCATCGAATGACGAAAATTGATAAGCCTGGAATACTGGAATGTCTTAATTTAAATTCAAGAGCTGGTTTCTTGATAGCGGAGCGGAAAGATCAAGGGCAGGCTCTACCTCTGGCATTTGAATTTTGATTTATGTTTGGCCCAAGTAAACATAGATTAAACTTACAGTTTACTTTCTGGCGTGGCTATGATTTGCGACCACTTTCCAGGTTCGTTGATGGCGGTCTTAGTGCCAGCCTTGCCTTTGGGATTCGAACAGCAATCGGTGTTACACATTTTTCAAGCCAAGGGAAATAGTTATGGGGTAGTAAAAAAAGAGAGTAGAACTGACTGACAAATAAGACAGGGGCTGATTTGCTCGAAAATAGGGTCTCTGAATGTTCGTAAGACTTACAGCAGGCTTTGGGGAGTGGGTATGATCTTCTCCCCATTCAGACTCCCGGCTTTGCCTCCCTTCTTGTCCGTGCAGGTGTTGCCTCTGTTGGAGCCACCCGGTCCGGAGCAACAGTCGCGGGAGCACATTCTGCGGGTTGGTAAGAGGTCTTAGCCCGAAAGCAGGGCACTAGGCAGCGAATTTTGGACGGAGTTTGTCTCTGAACTTGGATTTCCCGTAGGCCCGAGCGTGTGTTTTCTGGGTGACTAGTCAAAAGCCAAGTGAAGCTATTGGCAGGGCCTACTGGACAACCAAGGCCATATCGATTTGGCCCCTCAAAAAGCGGGACACAAAGCATTTGGGGAAGGGGAAAGGGAAAAGACAGGTGGCGCAGTGGGGTTAAGGCGATGGGCCATAAAGCATTGAAAGCCAAGCAATATTGGAAGTTTCAATTAAAGTTGATTGTACTTAACGAGCCGCTGGCGTGAGGTCCATCTATATAATAATACCCCCTCCATAAGTAACTCCCCGCACTTACGTGGGATTCTCCTGGGCTGTGTACTCCGCCGAGCTGAGTCCATTGCTGTGACCATTGGTGCTTCCATTGGTCACATTTGTGCTGCCATTGCCATTGGCCACCTTGTAACCCGTCATTGTGCAGATGGATGGATGTGGATATGGATGCTTTTGTTCAATCAGTGATACACTGCAATTATATAATCGCCTGAGACGCGCTTCTTCTGGTTATGCAAATCAAACTTTCGCGCTTCAAGTTATGTCCAAATCGCTGCTCCACGTTTTCTTTTTCGCGAATCAAAACTAATTTAGATATCTGGACCTGGAATTTCTTTTGTAATCTCGTTACGTTTCACAAATGTTGTTTTATGGCCGCGTCCAGAACTCGATGATATGGTTTGTGGTACTACTATATATGCACACAATATGTGGTATCTCCTTCGCGTTTGTTGCCTGCTCGACCGCTGACTGTTGAGTGAACGCTGCCGACTAATGGACGAGGGTTTATAAACCGGAGGCACGACGTCGCTGCTTCAGGAAAAGATTCTCAATTCTGAATTCGGAATCTCGGGGATCCAGATCGCCGCTCTGCCGAGAGCCTCTGCCGGCGCTGATTGTTCAGCATTCAATTTAAAATCATTTAGCGCGTATGGGTGATGTTTATTATACTGCCGGAATCGTTGCTCCTAACTAATTGAATTGAGTGAATTTAAAAAAAACAACTCTTTCAGTTACACATTCGATAAGGAACGTTAGCGAGAACCATAAATGATTCTGCAATTTCCAACTGATAAGTTTTTTATGGACTTTTTGATATGGGTTTGAGTAAGCTGTTTGAGAAACACCTGATTTTGTATTGGTTAGTGTAACAAAAAGATTTTTTAACCTTATCCAGTTGGTTTCATTTAAGAATGAATATTTAATTTTAATATTAAGAACATGTATTATGGTAATGTTAAGTCAGACCTTTATATAATTCTTTTTTTTTAATGTTTAAAATATATTTAATCTTCTGTAAATCAAACCACAACTAAAGATTAACACCAAAAATCTAAAATACATATATTTTTAGCTAAGAAGACTATCAAATTTACTGTAGAAGTTGAGCTGTTCAAAGAATATATATTTTTATTTTCGGTGTGCTAGCTTTGAACCCAAAATATGAAAAGTCTTATCAACTTTGTTCAAATCATTTGCCAAACACGAAATCTAAACCAAGCTATTTTTAAATTTTTTCAAAACATGCCACTTGCCGAGAATTTTTCTATAGTTCGCCAAGCTTATCTGTGGGCTAGTAGGAAAGTTTTAACAGGTCATCAGTTTCATCAGTTTCCAGCCAGACACCTTTGAGTCAACACGAGTTGATTATTTCTGTTGTAATAGGGATAGGCTTTTGAATCACCCAGCAACCCATTCATACCTCTGATAAGAAATTGGCAAATAGATTTTAGTCGCACCCGTAAGTACTTAACCCCATTCTTAAGAAAAACAACAAGCCTAAGATGTTAAATTAAGCATCACCACTGATAAGGATGCAAAATGAATATAGAAGTGCTTATCATTTCATGGGGGGTACATAATTCTCGTGTGCTAAGTCGCAGTAACGATGATGCAAATATTTAAGACTGAGATCGGTAAACAAGTTTTCGACATTGCGCAAAATTGCAATCAGTATCAGATTGTTATTAATTAAATAAATTGCAATACCCTTTTTTGTAACTATAAATCCAGACTAGACTAAATAATCGTATTGAATATGTACAATTAAACAAAAATAAGGTATCTTTGGTTGCTTAGGGCTTTGTTGTGAAAAGTATTTTTCAATTTCACTAATCGACGTCAGCAGATTATTTTAATCAAAACAAGATTGTGTGAGAACTAAAAATGCTTGGCAACAAAACCGAGTATAAAATACTCAAATCGGTTTTTAAGAAAACAATATAAAAAGTGCCTGAACAACCCGAATCAATATGTTAAAACCAAACATGACTTAAGACTATGAAATTTGACCTCTGCACAAGATGCAGACCACCAAAATGAGTGGAAAATTCCCAGATGATAAGAAAAACCCCACGAATGGTGAAAAATGTTCCATTCATGTTTCCGTTGAAAATCCGAGACTTAGGGTCCGATTTTTCTATCTGCTGGTGGCCTCTTCTCAAGAAGTGGTCCCTTCCACATTCGATTTGCGACAGAGTTTCAGAGTTTGTGCAGTCCAACAAACCCATTAAGATGTTGTTTTTAAAACGGAATCGACGGAAACAGATTACAGATTGTCAGGCGAGTAAACAAGAAATGCATTTCATATTAGGTTTATTTCGGAGTATATTTATTAGCACTGATTTTGTGATTTTACGATTGCGATTTTTTACTTTCAATTTACTTGTTTAGCTAATTGCAGTGTGTTGTCATCAATATTAATTGGCTAGTCGCAGTAATTGCTTAGTGTAGTGTTTTTATGAACTTTTACAATCCTTTTTTTTGCGCTGGCCAATTCTGCTTTTTAATGTTATGGAAGGGTAAGCTAATTTCTGATTCATAAGTGTGAAAGTATTAATAATATGGCAACACACATTCATGCACACAAAGAATAAATAGAAACCGAGTTGGAAATAAACAAGGGAAATACAAATGATACGAAGGAACAAAAGAAAGGACCAATTCAAATAAAAGATAAGTGACAGGTGTGAAAACACAATAAAAGCAAGATCGTTTTCGGAATATTTCAAAGAGAGAAATGTGTTTTGGAAACTCCCCGATGGATTCACACCACCGCACTTGTCGAGGCTACAAAACCCGGCCAACTTTGTTTGCAAACGGAGAACTAAAATAAGTATTTCGAAAATGTTTCAAAACCTACAAGCGAACTGAGTTAAGTTGAATATCTAATGGGTAATATAATTTTCTTGATTTAAGGCATTTGCGGGACTTCAAATGTTTCAACGTATTCGTGACAGGGGATCTCGGGCTCAAAGATTGGAGTTAGAGACCCGATTAGATGGTCGTATTATCCTCTGCTCGGTTATTCTGGTTGGGACGGTTTTTCGCAATGAAAAAGGCACGAATGTGTTCTGTAGGTGTCTTACATTTCGTTTTTTTTTTGTGTTATGAGACTGGCCCCTACTCTTTGAGAATTTCGGGGCAACAGCTAAATTACTTTTATCATTTAATTTGATTTAATTTTACGAATTTTAAACTGTTTTTTTTTGGATTTGTTGTTATTTTTTTTTAAGGTTTTTATAATTGGTTAAATACGGTGTAAAAAACGCTTACAAACAATTACCCAAAAATAAACTTTAACTGAAGTACATTTTCAAAAAAATAACAATTATCTTGAGATGCGGCACGCGTGCGATCTGAATCCGGTTTTTCGAAAGGCTGACTTCAAAAAAATCCAGCGGAAGTTGTGCGATTTCGTCATCGATCATCGATCGCGTGCAGCATCTGAATTTACTGGTTTCATTAATTGTCTTTAAGGTGTTATTTTTATCATTTTTCGTAAGTTATAACGGTTCGATTTTGTTTTGTTTTAGTTGGTGGCACTGTTTAGAGGCGAGCTTTTCAAAAGCTATATTAAGGACTTGCGACGAGACGAGTGAGACACATGCGGTGATTATGCGCTGCCGGCCATCGGGTCCATGGGATCCTCCACCTGGAGCGGAGGAGTTTCCACCTGGCCACGGCCGGGGTCTTAAAGTCAAATAGAGACAGAGTGATAGAGAGAAAGAGAGTATTCGTATATACGTATGTTGATAAGTATTATATGCTAATTGGTAATCAAAAAAGGACTAGTTGCTAAATTTGGTTTTTCCTCGATAAATCAAAGTCGGTTGGATTATTGTGGCCATCGGAACTGGGGTGACGTGTCCATGGGTAGTGGAAATTTTTCAGATATAATCCGATAAGAACGAGAGCCTTGGTTTATCATACATACACCGGCATATGTATGCGGTTTTATTGCAACATTTCGAAATTATAAGGTAAATAAAACTACGTACGCAACACAAGTATACAAAGTAAATACAAGCAACTAAGAATACGAAATACAAATACTAAGTGTTCTATAAATATTTATACAAATTAAAAACAAAGTGAAAACAACGGCACAGTCACGCCCATTCACACAGACATACTAGCTAACGAATAGAAAACGCTCTTGAAGCTTGCTTTCTTGTTTTTTTTTCTTTTTGGCTGCTTAACAAATTGGGGTGGACATTTTGCATTGATTTGGCTGCTTTGGCTGCCCGGAAAGTAACCATCGGTATAAGACATACTATCTCTACTATATCTCAGCTAGAAACTTTCCGAACAGCCCGCTTGGTAACAGAAAACACAGACTTCTCTAGCTTCTCTACTTAAGTACTTAAATGACTTTCAGGCATAGCATACAGTACAATACTTTAGCATTATTTTAAGGGGGATAGTACGTTTCATAGATGTCTTGACAATACGATGTTGCACACACATATATATCTAGAATTGAATATTATTAAACATGCGCTAGTCAATAAATTACACAGGTTAATAATTAGAAAAAAACGAGACACTCTCTTGAACGTGCCTTGGATTAACTTAAACGTTATTACAATATTATCTTTATATTCTGTATTTTAATTGAAGCTGCCCTTAAACCGTTCAAGTCTGTTCAGCGAATTCCTTAAGTGTTCTACGCTTTTGTTTGCATTCTCAATTCAAATGGTTCTTTTTGGTTTTGGTTGGCTTTTAAAAAAGAATTCCATTCGTTTTGTTTTTTTTTTTTTGTTTTCGTTTATGTTTTTTAAATTAATCATAAAAATCAGTCAGTCCAACGCCTTTTTTGTTAGTTACTTAGCTTCTTCTTTTGGTTGTGAGTTCGTGTTTTTGTCGGGGAAGTCTGAGTGCCATCGGTTGGATTTTGGGCCCTGTTCGAGTCTGGGTTTCGGGGTCAATTCTAACCGAGATCTACTGCTACTCTAACGCTCCTGACCTTCTACTTGCTGCTTTCCTCGCTTTCTTTTAGAATAATTACGTCTAGTTGCCATTAGGTTTGATAGGTTAAAATGTAGTACGTATGTATAATAGATGTGTGTTGTACAAATAAATTATATTATCATTACATGCATATAAATATATAACCGATTAGATATATGTTTATATATACGCGCGTGTTTTTTTTCTTGTGTGTGTTCTGTATGCATATATATAGACTACAATATATACTGCGTATGCTTTTGGTTTTTGGCTACTTTGATGCTTATCAACTAGAATTCAACTACTTCTTTTTGGCCGCCTTCTTTTCGGCCTTGCGTATGGCCTTCTCGCGCTCGCGCCTCTCCCTCTCCATGTCCTTGCGCTCCTTCTCGATGTTGGCCTTCAGGTCCTTCAGGCGCTTCTTCAGCCGGTGCTTGTCGTCGCCGCACACGCCCAGCGTTTTGAAGTCCTTCGAGTCCAGGGTGAGCAGCGCTCCGCCCTCCACGTTGTGCTCCTTGAAGACGGTGATGTAGCGCTCCAGCTCAATGCCCATCAGCCAGTGGCCCACCTGGAAAAGGAGAAATATTCAATATATTATGGTTCTATAAAGTAGAAGTAAGTTATTGTGGATTTGGTAGTCTAAAATGGATATATGTATTTTTTAATATTATCCTGAATCGATTGCTAAAAAGCTAAGGACTATGAAGATTATCTTGTGCATTCAATTTTCCATTTAACTTTAACTGTCTCTGATCTTATTTTGGCCAAAGCTGAAGGAATCCTTCGAGGCTAAAAGTAGCCATCGACTTACCTGATCCTTGGTCCATTCGTGAACAGGTCCACCCTTGTAGGTGTAGCCAGCTGCCAACGCCTTGCGGTCGGAGAAGCTGGAACTGGATCCGGACAGATCCAGGGTGCGGCTGGGCGAGTAGCCCGGCGAGGAGCAGCCGGAGGACATGCTGGTGGGCGAGGGCGGGCCGGTGGTGTGGGCGGACGGCTGCTGCTGGATCTGCTGGTGGTGCTGCTGCTGCCAGGGCACTGTGCCGGGCGGGGAGAGTGATTGTGGAACGACTTGTTTAACTTTAGATCGGTTACGCGGTTTACGAGTTAGTTGAGAGAGAGAGAAAGCAGAAGGAAGATAGAAAAGTCTGGGTTAGTAAGATCGCACTGGACCCTTTGGCATTGCGACGCAGAGCACATGGTATCGATTTGAATGGTTTAGTTTAGACATTCATAAGATATATTTATAGAGAGATATACATATGGGGAGATGCGAGTAATGTAAACGGATAACAGCTGCAATGAACTCTCAAAACCTTCGCATAATATCATATGGTTATAACAGAATAACAGTGTTCGATTAGTTGATTTTGAACAGTAAACATATGTACAGTTCTGTATGAAATGAGATGATGGGCATGATACGTCTTTCGTTTCGGGATGGGATCGATCTACGGGTTAGTCTACGGTCTGGCTAGAGAGATTCGGAGGATTGTGCTGGTTTGGTTGGTTGGTTGGTTGGTCATAGTTCACCTTTGGGCTGGGCCTCGTTCACCGCCTGGCGGATCTCGTTGATCAGCGTCTTGCAGTTAATGGCCGCGGCGCTCTGGCTCTTGTTGATCTCCGTGTAATCATCGCTGGAATGTCGCGAGGATCCATCGCCGAGGCGCCTGCAAAGGTCGAGCAACCGTATAACAGAGTGCATAACAGTTTTTGAGTGTGTTTTGTGCCCATTAGATTACCCAATTTTTCTACATAGTTATTATTAAGCCCATCTGCCGCCATACAAAATTTGGAAGGTCAAAAAATGACTAACAAACAAATTTCAGTATATACTTTCTAAACCCCTTTAAATTGCACCCTCTAAAAGTAAAGAATATTAATGTTCTATCTATCTACAAAATGTACGACTCAACTATGTTATAATCTGCAAAAATGAATGCGTTCAATAAATAAGATTTAAAATGCAATAAGACCAACTCTCAATTTATGGCATTATGAAAACACATAACTAATAATTGTATCGTATGACTTGATACTTATAAACTCCACTTCTCTAGAAGAAATCCCCTGAGTGAACCCACCAACTCTCTGGAGAGCCAAACCCACCTCTCGCGATCGGACAGCGCCTGGTTGAGTTGATCCGTAAAGCTGGATCCGGGCAGTGGAACCTTGCTGCCATTGGGCGCCACCCGCCTGCGACTTGGATACATCCAACTCTCCGCTGGCTCATTCTCGGCGAGCTTGTCGTTGGAGCCCAGGATGGAGTCGTAAGAGCTGTTGAGATCACGATTGCTGCTACTGGCTGGGCCCGTTCCAAAGGTGGTCATACTGCCACGATGGAAGTCGTTGAGCCCGTTGTCCGCCGGGGATCCTATGGCATTCTTGAACATGTTGGGAATACTGGTGGTCACCGCCTGAGCCTGTTGCTGCTGCTGCTGTTGTTGCTGCTGCTGCTGCTGATGCTGCTGCTTGCTGGGATCCTTGTGCACCTGGGCATACAGCTGATTGATCTGTGCCTCGCGGGCCGTCGACTGGTTGGATGAACTGGACGAGGCGGAGGAGGTGGAGTTCAGCAGGATGGCCGTGGTGGTGCCCAGGTGGCCATTCGAGGGGGTAGTGACCACACTGGCCATGGCTGGCGGATGGTGCTGGAGGAGATTGTTCACGTTGGCCAGCAGATGCGAGTTGCCGTTGGACAGGCTGATGGTTTCATGGGTGGTCGGAGCTCCTGCCAGATTCAAAGCCGATCCCTCACGCTCCTCCTCCTCATCCGTGTCATCCAGGGTGCAATCCGAACTGCGACTGTTGCTGCGGCTGCGCTTGAGGAGATTCCCATTCGAAAGCTGGCCAAGATCACTGGCGCCTCCATTCGAAGTGCTGCTGTTTCCATTGGCTGAGGGCAACTGGCGATTGGCTAAACCACCACGGGAGGCTTTTGTTTTAGAACCGATTTTTTCGATTGGCAGGGTGCGATTTTTTATTTGATTCGTGTTTTTCAAATTGATTTTGGTTTTTTTTCGATTCAGATTTGTTGTAGTTGGGCAAAATGAGGGCGCAGCGTGTAGGCGTGGCAGTCACAAAAACACAACGAGCAAAGAACGTAATACAAACATGAACGATATAATACGATTTAACGAACGAGAACAGACGGCACACAGAGATCAAATTAAATCGAGAGAAATGGAAAGAAAGAGAATAACAATTAGCACACAATGACAATGAAGGAGCACAAAAGAAGAAAGCAGCAAAAGGAAATCAAGAGGAGGAGCAGTGGTGGAAGCTTTAGCCCAGGTGCAGTTCAAAGCACAAAGAACAAAACGATTGCATCAAACAAGATTGCCGTGGTTTAAGAAATTAATTTGAAAGGGAAAAATTTTACTGATTAATAAAAACAAATATATTGGAAATTTTTAAAATTTTTACTTTTAGACAAGTATTCTATGGTACATTGTGAAGCCGGAGTGCAATGCATTATTATAAATGCTAAAAATAAATAAAAGTTCAAATCCAAAAAAATGGCTTATGGAAAATACTACTCAACCACATTGAATATGTTATATTTTAAACATATTTTCTTAGAAAACCATGACAATCTTGTAGTGAATGAGTCAAAAAGTGCTTGGGTAAGATAATGTTTAGCGGTGAGGACTCACCCAGATCGATTTTGGTCTTGTTAACCGAGTTATCCAGCAGCTCGTGCTGCGGCACAGCCGCATCTAGTTCGTCCTTGACTGGGACCTTACGTTCCACAGTGGCTGTCTTTACTCCATCGCCATCGGGTGAGAGATCGGAAATCTCCGTGTCCGACAGCTCTGTCTCCAGCTTGTGGAAGAGTGGCTTCGGCGGAGTCTTGCGCATCATTTGGGGGGTCAGCTTCAGGGTGGCACTGTCGTAGGGCAGACCCACGGGGAAACCAGCCTTGCGCTGCGTCTCCTGCAGCTCGTGCTCCAGATTGATCACCCGATCCTTGAGCTTCTTCACCAGCGCATTGTACTCGGTGTCCTTCTCTTGGAGCAGCTGCTGGTAGAACTCCTCGCGATGGCACATGTCCAGCTCCCGCTGCTGGTACTCCCTCACCAGCCGCTTGGCCTTGTTGTACTTCTTGTCCAGCGCCATGTACTGACCCTGGGACTGCTGCAGCATGTTCTGCAGGTTGGCCGCCTCCTTCCGGATGTTGCCCAGCTCCCGTTCACTTTGCCGGAGCCGCTCACTAAGCAACTCGTTCTCATTTCCCGTCGTCTCGAGCTTGACCAGCTGGGAAGGGTTAAAAAAAAATGTATCAGTACGCCATACTTCTTAGCTTAAAATTATTGTGCAATTGATTGATGAGATGATGTTGGGAAAATAATAAATAAAATAACAGAAAACCAACCTTTCGTTTTAGATTTTGAATAATCTCTTCCTTTACCAGACAACCCATTTCGCTCTGGGAGAAATAAAAATAAAGAATAAAACTACAATGTTAAATCAAGAATATAATGAAATTAAAAAAAAAATACAACTAAAATAAATAAGAGCTTAACAACAACAAACTATAGCAACAAAAAAAATCAGTTTTAAATTTAGTACAATAAAATATTACACAAATTATAATAAAATTTACTAAGTTAAATTAGTTTTAAATTACAAGTTAAAAATTAATCAAAGTGTTTTGAAAATGTGCTCTACAATTTTTCAGTATCTAAAATTTCGTTTTCAATGATATTTTCAAATCCAATTACCGCTTTGTGCTGCATTTCAATATCCACACAATTTTGAAATTCAGCAAAAGGAGAGAGAAGAGAACACACAAACACACAAGTTAAGCACGGCTGCAAGAGAGATTCTTTCCGGGATCGGCAATCCTAATGGGACGCCCTAGAGTCCTTACCTCCTGTAGCAGTCGCTTGAGCGACTCTACCTCCTGCGAATGGGTGGCCTCCACCTCCATGGGATGCTCCACTTGTACGGGACTCGATGGTCCCTCGCAGACACTCGAATTGGCCGAAACCGGCTGGGTGGAGTCCTCGGAATAGTCGAGGGTGCGGCGCAGGTACTCCTCTTGTTGGCTAAAATAACTTTAGATAAATTAATATTTGTTGATTGGCTTTATCCCTAATTAACTAACCGCTTCAAGCGCTCCTCCTTCTCGCGATCTGCCTGCAAACTCAGTCGTATGAGCTGGGCTACCTCAGAGTTTTCAGGATCGCGCTCGCGTCCGATTTGGAATTTGACTAGACCGGAAGTATTGCGCAGCACTGAAGCTGCATATGCCTGGGTGACACCCACGAGACTCTTGCCGTCCACCTCAATGATCTGATCGTTGACCTAAAAGTTAAAGAGTGTTATTAATTACTGTGGTTACATAAGGGTCAGACCAAGAACCCACCTGAATGCGACCGTCTCTGGCTGCTGCTCCGTTATCGGTTATGGTTTTCACAAAGATTCCTAGTTTCTCTAAGCCTGCATCGGCGCCAACGCCCATGCCAATTATACTGAGACCCAAACCCTCAGGACCTTTCATCAATTCCACGGGGAAGACGTGCATCTTCTCCACGCGCTTTTCGAGCTCGTATTCCGCTGAAGCGGCCACAGGATCGACATCTTCATTCCGGCGATCGTAGTCGTTGACGGAGAAAGTGGAGTACACGTGGATGGGTCCGGAACTAAAGCGAACTTTAGGATTCTTGCGCACAGTAATGGGTGGATAAGAGCAGTCGTCGTCGTCAAAGTCTAAAAGACCTATTAAAATGAGAGTGATTAGTGGGATATAATCTCTATTCAAAGCTGATCCCAACTTACCAGGCACTTCCATCCAGAAGTTGCCATCTTCGAAGTAATGCACTCCCGCCTCTACGAGCACTTCCTTGCTCCTCACAGGCGGATATTCCGGGATATAGTACTGACTGTCGTCGAGTTCGGTGACCCCAGTGCTCAGAACCGTCGAGTTGATGGCTTGTTCGGCATCTGCCAGGGAATAAGTGGAATTGTGCTTGCTGGAGATGATGCTGTCGTCGATGGTAGTGGTTTGGTTGAGTGTGGCATCCGATTGCGTGGACTCCACGGATACTATCGACTCGTGCAGCGATTCTCCACTGGTCACGTATGTGTGATTTAGATCGGAATGTTTCTCTTGCAGATCATAGCCGTTTTCTAGCTCTTCTCGTTGACCTCTTCCTGAAGTTACCGAAGTGATTAGCAGATTCTCTAGACTGCGCTTGGGTGCCTGTAAAAGGATGTAAAAGGTTGATTATTATTCTGTTATTTTAGTAGCTATATATTGCATATGAATTGCATACAATTTGTACATTTAAAACCCAGAAATAAATAAATTTAAAAAAAATGAATTCGATCTTATTTCATTTCGATCTTTTTAGCTAGTAATTGTTATTTTTCGTAATTGTTTTCAAATCGAAAATATCTAATGGATCGCAAAATATTTGTTTGTGTATCAATTCTGAGCCACCTACTGATTTTCCAGGACTTTTAATCAAACAAAAAGTCCCGAGAATCGTCAGTGGTTTCTGGGACACCCCTGATACCAACGCTTCCTACCTCAAGGACATCTCTTAGCCACTCGGGCTCGTCGTCGTCGTGGCGAGTGGTGGCTGTGGTGGCCGTCGAGGGGGTGGTGGTGGTGGTCTCTGTTTCCGTGCTGTCGGCCTTGACGAAGGTGGCATTCAGAGCGCTGGAGGCATGGCCAAAGCCCACAATGTCCACGGCTTCAACGTCATCGGAATCGCCGTCAGCATCGCCGCCGTTGGCATCGAACTCGGCCCTAGCGTGGTCCTCCTCCTCGTCGTCCTCCTCCTGGAACTCGTCCTCCTCCTCGTCCTCGTCCTCCTCGACAATCGCAGGGACAGCTGCAATTTGGATGTCCTGCTCCCCGTTGGCAGCGGCGGCCACTGATGATTGCCCGGGCAAATCCTCAATGAGATTCTTGATGCTGGTCGGCGATGTTGCTGTGGCAACAACGGCAGCAACTGCCACGCCCACACTGGGGGCGGCGTTGAGTATTTGCTCGACTTCCTTGGCCTGTTCGTCCGACAGCAGCGACTGTTGTCTGTTTGGGATCAGAAAAATATAAATATAAAGTTTATGGTACCTCTCTGGGGGTCAACAAAAAAAATAAATAAAGGGCAAAAATACAGAAAGCAGGACCAACCTGATTTTGTTTTCCAAAATGCTACGCAGACAGGATACAACAGGACAGGACACAAGCACAACAATAACAGGCAAATTACGATAAATAAATGAAAGTAAACAAATTGAGAGAAATGCAAAAATTATGAAATATTTATAGAAACATGCAAATCATTTTAAATAATACAAATAAATGAACACCATTACGTGCGCCGCTTAAAGATTTATAAACGTTGCAAACGCAGCGAGCATGTAAATAAAATTAAAGTGCATATAATAACTGTAATTAAGTGGAGAGTTCAGCAGTCGACAAGAGTGTGCAATTAAAATGTAATGCACTTTTAATTTACACTATCCAGCGGTTGGGCTTCCAGTTTTCGCTTCCGTTTCCAATTCGTCAACTCAAATTGGGTTTATTTAGAGGCTGAGTTTTTAAATCAATTTATGAGCATATTTATATCTTCCAGCTGACTATATTCCTTTAAAATGTCCCATTATTATAAAGTAAACTTAAGATGCCGTCAGAATGTTGTTCTTTTAAACTCCAAAACGCGAGTTCTTAAGCATCATCATCCACTTCGAAAGTGCCAAGAACTTGTATCACCCCTCAAGTGAGTAACCTTACTATTTCCCCCTTTAATTAATAAACCCAACAAGTCGCCCTTTAATTGCACACAATAATAAAGTAAACTTGAGGACGTGAAATGCAGTCAGCGCCGCAAAGTACGCAATGCCAAATTAAACATGCACGCTTACACGAGCACGTAGCCCAAAGCGAGTTGGGTGGAAAATCGGGTGAAAAGTTATGTCGCATACGCCGTGTTGCACACGCAATGGCACCTGAAGTGAGTAAAACAGGTAGAACTGGTAGACAGTTGTCAGTTAGCTGGGTGCATTTAACGTTTAAGTGTTTGTCACTCTCACTTGTGCGTGACGTCACGTGTAAGGTGGATATCTCTACCTGTCGCAGTGTTTGTTAATTACTGCCAACAATTGCCAGCGACAACGACAACGAGGACGATACCACACGGAGAAAATGACTTAATGAATAAAACAAATATATGAATCTTGATATTTGTTAAGGAAATTGTAACTTTAAAATTGCATACTAATATAATTCAAAATAAAAAGTGGCATTAACCTGCATTCTACATATTGTTTAAACATTAAATGAATATATAATTGAAAGCATTCATATTTAATATTGAACTATTAATACACATATAATTTGTCTATGATTATGACATAAATTCCATAATTTTAAATACTTTGAAATTTCGAATCCTAATGTATACCATCATCTATTTTTTTTACTGTGCATTAAGAACGTTGCTAATCATTGAAACTAACACACAGAGCCTTAGTTGCTGCAAGTGGTTGATTATGTTGTTGATAATAAGAGCCAAGTGGCAGACACTGAGACAAAAGCAAACAGTCGGGCGAAGAGCCAAAGTGGCCACTTTCCCGCTTTTCCACTTTTCCGTTTTCCCCCAGGTGGTGCAACTGTGTGCCATGCATTTAAATGAGCTTTTCAGCAGAGTTTCAGTGCATTTATGTAATTGCAATTGGAATTGGCATTTTCACACGCAGCCCAACAGACTGTAATTAGCCTGGCTTTCAAAAACATATTGCAAATGGCCTAAAATTCAACGATATTGCCGACAGTTGACGGCAATTTCCATGGCTCCATCGAAAAACAATTCGGATATTTCGATAACCCCAATGCAATCCAATAAAATGCAATAAAACAATTAGCCAGCGATTTGGCAACGAAATCACTATATTTCCCTACATTTCCTGACCACTCTCGAACCAAACCAAACAATCAACAAAAACAATTGAAATAACCGAAACAAAAATTGAAAACTTATTCAAGGGGGTAACTAAGCGGCTTATGGGCAAGGTTGGAAACTGGAGTTGAAAGGATTTAGCTCCCTGCCCGATGATCCCCTGCAGCTAGGCAAAACGAATAAGAATTAGCATAAAGTTATCGCTTTATAATTAAAATAAAAATAACACGCTACCGCTTTTAATTGCTGAGGAGAATGTGGGACAATCCCCTATGCTTTTTTAACCACACCTTCGCAGGTCGCCTAAAGCGAATGCAGTTGCATGCATAACAAAATATTACGCATACGCCGCGTGTGACGCGCGAAACAACGATGACAAAGTTTCGTCGGCGGCGGCAGCGGGAAAATAATTACAAGCAAAAAGATCCAGGGAATGGGCATCAACTTTAACGATATTTAAATAGCACAAACTCTGGAATTATTCCAAACGTGGCACAGTGGTATATTTATGTAAAAATAGATAGAACTTCAAAACTTCGTTTTTGTAAAAAACTCAGTTTTTCTCCCAACTTTAAAAAATAAAAAAAGTAAGAATTTCTATTTCAATACCAATTCAAAACACTTTTTAATTTATGCCAAAGAGATTATTCCTTTTACCCATCGTGCGTTGAGCAAAAAGAAAATGCGAAAGACAAATGCAATTATGCGACGGTTGGAATTTTCCGTTTGTCCCGAGCAAACAAAGGCGGAAATGCCGGAAAAGCCAGAAAGCGAGAGTGTGTGTGCTTCAACACTTTTCGTTGCCTAGTTATTGGAGCACAAGTTGATTAGGGAAACGCAGCGGACATATGGAAAATGCCATAAAGAAAGTTTGCACAGGGCGCCACAAACAAGGTCAGTCTGCTCATTGTTTCGTCATACATTTTTAATTAATTTAAATAACAACGGCCAAAAAGAAACCGCAATGCAAAAGCCTTGCCCCACAAAATGAGAGCGGATTAAACTCACTCAAGAGCGTGCCTTCGTTTTCCAAATGCGAAAATCCTCGCTCTTCGAGTGAGTTTTCCATGTGCTCCAGCTCCATGTGCTTTTGGCCCTGGCCCACAATGACGTCATGTGTCTGACTCGGTTAGCCTTCCATTGTTGTGATAAATTTAACAGAATTTATGTTTAGTCATTCGTGAGTTTTACAGCAAGCATTTTCGTTTATTAATAGCTGTTGGCTTGGATTAGGACGCGTTGGACTAGACTCCATCCTGCATTCGTCCAGTTCGCCAGCACTTTTCAAAGTCACTTGTGTTTGGCGGAGCGGAGAAGAGAAAATAGAGAAAGTTTTGGCCTGGTTGAACCCACAGTCGAAAAAACCAAGTCAAGGTGAGCAATGACGATGATAATGTGACGATGTGCAGAGGATACATATAAGCAAAATTGGCTATTGTTTGCGGTGGGTTTGGTTATCAAAATAGTTAATGTGGGGCAAAATAAAGAGGCTTTTAAAACATGTTAAAATTTCTAAACAATGGATTTAAACGTTGATTTAATCCATGATAATTAAATAATGAGAAAACATTTTTGAAAAATAAAACATTCAAGTTTTAATTTTTTTCGAAATATTGCCTACATATACATAGAAAATCTATGCGGCTGACTTGATTCAATTGTTTTTCTGTCATTATTATTTATAATTTATTTGCATAAATTGGGCAAACACATCAGAGGTTAACCCGTTTAGCACTTAATCATATGCGATGGCAAATTGAATGCACAGATACAAAAGGCGAAACATTCGTCAGAGCGGCTATGAAAATTGAAAACCCCATTTTATCATGGCGAACACGTACGGGAACAGCACAAATTCCACAGCAGAGACTCCGGCAGAAAAAACAATCAGCCAGGAACAATATTTACTGCGTGCGCACCAAAGTATGCAGCAAGAAAAATCACAAACGCAGGATAACGACAAAGGACATGGGGGAAAAAGTAGGGAACTGCTTCAGGGGGGAGCGGGGTTAAGCAGGGAGTGGGGGGAGGACGACGATGACAATGTTGAAAATGACAACTTGGCAACAATTATATTCCAGAACGAGTGCGGGTGTGAGTGTGTGTTGGCCCGCATATGAACAAGAAAATGGAAACAACAATGTCAACAGGATCAACATGGCGTATGAGCAACGTTCAATTGAAAACCCATTCGATTCAAGTGGCACGACAATACGATAAACTGTTCCAGAACAACGTCAACGTTTTCCCCATTCATTGGTAGATTGTGCAGGAAATTGAGGTAATTAAACGCTCGAAGAATCTCCGGGAAAATGAAAAACTTTGCGTCCTTTAATCAGCTCAGAGCAAAGTTACCTGCCTACAATATTTTTTTCTTTTTTTTTCTACTTTTCGACTACGCGGTATGCCAGATGGCAACTACTTAAGTGCTCTGCATACACAAATATGCAGATAAAAACGGTTTTAAATATAATTTTGGCACAACTCGCTCCGGCCACTCTCATCTCGGGGATAAAAATTCCATAACTTGCTACTAAAATGCAAACTTTCGAGAAAACTTTACCCGGGTGGAGTGAGTGCAACACTTTGGCATTCCCACTTGCCGGCAATCAACGTGGTAAATAAAAACACCCGGACTCCTTCACCTATTTATCTTTATCACCCGGCTTTATCTACCGAATTAGCCGAAACTTCACACATCGCGCGCCACAGCGATAAATTCCAGTATTTGCCTCAAACTGAAACTTATGCGAACAACTGAGTAAACAGTCACTGGGACACTACCAGGATACCAGTCACGAGGACAAAACAAAGTGCGAAAGGTGCGCCCCAACCATAAAGTCGCCTTTAGAGAGCTGCTTTTATATCGGATGGGGGAAGCATTAGTGGACCGGCGTTGAAGGAATCGCTAAAGGCGAGTAATGGCGGTAGGAAATATCACAGAGTCACAAGTCGCTGGCAAAAACACCCTCAGGGTGGCAAGGATTAATTTGTTTGCCTTTGAATGGGGGACTTTTAAAGAATATATTTTGTTATTAATCCATTCTATAAATGTCACTTTAAAAGTCACCTTTCTCCTTCTCCACTTCTTGGCAGAATTTTCTGGTCAAGCTTCGAATTTATTAAACTAATTAAGAAAGTAACAAAAAGTTATTTACCGCTTTTAAATAACTATATATTTTCATTTTCCATTAAAATTAAAAACTTTAATCAATGCAAAGAAAGGTTTTATGGCTATTTGAACTTACAGTTC